TATACCACATACAGAACCCCTCTTGACCCTGGAATGAAGTTAGCCGTTACACTCGGACATCTTGCGTCAGGGTCAAAGTATTCCAACATGCGGTTTGCCTGGAGGATACCTCACAACACCATCTCTGTCATCGTGCGAGAAGTAAATATTTTTTATTTTCCTATGATTCTGAATGATAACTCGAACAATTACATGTATATAATTTCTGGTCTTTTAAAATATCAATAATTTGCTTACATGATTATTTCTACTTTTAAAATCGCATTTTTATTTACATTTTCAAGTGTGCAGAGCAATTATAGACGAGTATGTGAACGAGGTCATGCCTTTGCCAACAACAGCTGCTGACTGGAAACGCATTTCAGATGGCTTCTTGGAAAAATGGAACTTTCCTCACACTTTGGGTGCATTGGATGGCAAGCATATTGCCAGTAAAAGTGTCCACCTAGTTCCGGGTCCACATATTTCAACTTTAAGAAGTACTACTCCATTGTCCTGCTGGCCCTCGTTGACTACGACTACACGTTCATTTGGGCCGACATCGGAGGCCGCGGTGCAAAAAAAAATCGGACTATTTATACCAGTTTTGTCCGTCACGTGACCGGTAGAAATACGCTCGTCGAACGTTCAAAGAACGTTTTGTCAGTTCTTCGTGCGCTGCGTGTATGTTTTGTGCGGTACAAATCCGTTACTAGTACGGTGAAGTCCGTTAACTGTACGTCTTTCATCCGTTATATGTGCGTTGATCGTTCGGTCTTTGTGCGTTTTGTACGTTTTATGCGCCCTGTACAGCGATCATGAGAGTACCGAGCAGCAGCGGGAAATGCTTTTCATCACCGGATAACTTTCAGCCGCATTTTTCTTTGCGTTTGGCGTCCGCTAACGCTATACGGTGTAGTGTGACTGAAGCTTTAACCTTAATCATGCAAAATTTGGATGACAAACTTCCTTTGCTTTTAATTTGGAACAATACATTTAATTCTTTTAAGCGAGTTCAGTATAAAATTACTAAAATCAAGCAAAAAACTTAAATAATTATATATAATAGTTTGGTCAAACTACACACAAAATTTTTTGGCTCTCCTGTCTATGTACAGACAAGCAAAGGCAAATCATGCCTTGAGTTTTCTATGGGAGACTTCGGTTATTCCTTACTTTCACTCATAATAATGTAAAATCAAATAGCACAGTTCTTAAGTAGAAGTATCTAAGGATATTAAAATTTTTACAGTATATATATCACTGGCATGACACGTAAGAATATCGAAGAATAGTTAGTTATGATTAATCATGGAAATATCCAACTCATTCACCAAATGTTGCCGCTTTTTTTTCCCTTATAGCTTTCATTGATTGAGAATACTTTACGAGTATAGTTTCATACAAGGTTTTCATAGGAGTAAGATAATTTTTGAGATACATGGGCTACAAGTAACATTTGAGAAACACAATTTTTCTCTCTATTCTACACTATACAATAGGTACTATGCACTAAAATACAAACTATTCATTTTCTAAGCAAGGGTTGATTGACTTTTTTTTTATAGAGTTGTATCCATGGTTTATGTTCTAGGAAATTCATAGTTATAAATAATAAAGCAAATAGTTTTGTAAAATAACATATAATGCTCAATTTTACGATAAACGCCTAACTTATATTTTTCATAAGAAAACTTCATTGGTGTTTTTAGAATTTGCACCAGTACTTACCTGTTCAAAACCAGTAATTCAATATATGTACATAATAAATAGCTGTGGATATCAAAAAATGCCTAAATGTTTATGAACCAATCCAGTGGAAGACCTATGCCATATTCATTTTTGTAACTTCAGACTAGAAACAAGTAGATCTTATCCTTTTTTAATCTGCAGAAAGGTATATCTGACCCCATTAACAACACACATCAATGCAGCTTGTAGGCAAATCCTGTTATGCACAATATGTACTAGTAATCTGGTATGGAATTCCACATATGTTACATCATTTTTTGTATGTTGTTGATTTGCATTTCTGATGAAGACATATTAAAGTCGGAACTGGTTGAATAATTGTTATCTTGACCTTTAACATTGTAACTGTTCCACATATCTAATGAAGTTCAACTTTTAAATTTCTCTGTAAAAATATAACTTTTTGAGTTTGAACATTTGTACCATTCTTTTTTACCTGTGTCACATATCATGACTGCTAAAACAAGAACTGTCCCTAAGACAGCGCTCAACTATTCTCAGTGCTCAGCGACAGTAAGAAAAGGGGCATAACTCTGTAAAAAGATAACTCAGAGTTATAGGACTTATTCTCATCATGTTAGATAATCACAAGAGTTTCAAGTCATTCCTTTCAGTTGTTTTGAAGATAACGAACCTGCAAACAAAAACTTAACCTAACTGTGACAGCACTCCCGGCACCGAGGACAGTACAATAGCTCTCCCTATTCTTCGAATAGTCGAGCTAGAAAGTAACTGTGTAACAAGAACATGCTTCTTCACATAATCCTTTTTTAAAGAATTAAATTCAGATTTCCTACTTATATATTGCATAACAAGTCATTTGACACAACTTAAATTCTTGTTTGGATTCCTCTTTTGAAAAAATGTTTTTCATACAGCATTTTCTAGCACTGGCATTTCTATACATTATAGTTTATGAAAAAAGAATCAAGAAAAAGGCATATTTCCATGTGCCTCAATATAATGAGAAATTATATTTCTCTAATGCGGCAACAAGGTCCTGAAACATTTTCTGAAAATCAGTATTACCTTTATTTACCGACTGTGGAAACTTTGTCTACAAAAAAGACAGTGCCTAAAATCAGCATAAACAATGCAGTGTTTGTCTTTTTATGGCATAACAAAATGTTTAACACCTTGGTATCACTATATTAAACATTTTACCATTTTACAGTAAGTTCCTTCAATTTTTTGTATACTTTTGATGTGTAAGCAGAATATTGTGTTACGAAAACCTTGTGTGTGAGGTAATAACATGTTTTCAGAACTGATAAATGAGCCGCGTCACAACAAAACCAACATAATGCGTTTGCAACCAGCATGGATCCAGACCAGTCTGCGCATCTGCGCAGTCTGATCAGGATCCATGCTGTTCGCTATCAGTTTCTCTACTTGTAATAGAGTTGGTAAGCCAACAGCATGGATCCTGATCAGACTGCGCGGATGCGCAGGCTGGTCTGGATCCATGCTGGTCGCAAACGCATTATGTTGGTTTTGTCGTGACTTGGCTCAAATTAATATGCTCTAGCTTATGCTTAAAAATTTCAGGTTTATTATTTGTTTCTAGTTTATTTACTCCTTCTACTGTTGTTATGGCAAATCAGTCTTCAACTTTTTCACTATATTTTCAATTGCGCTTTCTATACATAATGTTAAATTTTCTGATTAAACAAAAGGCTGGATAACTCATAATGATTGGCTGCCATTAAGTTATTTCATAAATTGACAAGTAATATTGATCAAATATCTTTCTTTCATTATTACAGCACCTTAATTATCTTTATATCTTAAGATAAAGAAGAAATTCTATGATTCATTTTCCTGTGACAGACGTATTGTAATGCTTTGACATCAACATTATTATGATTTTCATACATTTGTTACATCAATTTAATATTTGTAAAAAGGAGGTATAAGAAAGCAGTACCAACTCTGCTGAGCAAACATCTTTTGTTGAAAAGATTTTTTTGGTTGTTGTTGAGTGGTGTTGCTCAAAAGAGGTTTAGTTTATTATGCAGTCTTCCTGTAGTAAGAATTGGTACTGTTGCTGCAAAGAGGTAATTGTTCAACAGATGGCCTTTTTGTGGAGGTTTCACTGTAATAGCAGTATTTTCATGTCTAAAGTTTTGCTTCTATGAGTTCGTTACATTACTTATTTAGAATTTAAAATATCAAAATTTTACTCAATTTTAATATATTCATGCATATGTAGAATATAATAATCCAAATTACATATACAAGTATTAGATAATTAAAAAAAATCTTGTTTAATTTGATTATCCTAGTTAAAATACATTTTAACATACTGAGTGATAAAAATGTTAGTTCAGTTAAAGTGTAGTACATAATATCATAATAGACCTGTACAAGTAAATATTGTATATCAGTCAATTATATAATTGATAATGATGCTATATTTGATATTTAATTACTGTTTGTTAATTTTTATACTTTATTTTATTGTAAAGCTTGTATTTTTTTTTACTTGCGATATTATCAAAAATTATTAGGTTAAGTGCTATGCCTGTACTCACTCTCTCTGCACTCACTTCAAAAGATAAGACTGTGAAGAAAAGTCAAAACAAGAAATAAAATCTACTCACAAGTTTTAGATTTTTCCACTCAAAACATTTTTAGAAAATTTTAGAAGCACTCATACCTTTACACTCTCAATATTATATTAAAGAAAGCAAGTCTGAAGCTATGTTGAAAAATAAAATAAAACAGTGTGTGACAGTCCATCTTTTATCTTAAAAAAAATGATACTGCAGACAGAAAGGTGTTTCAGTAAATTTTATGACTCTTCTTGTAAAAAAATAGATTGTACGATTCTGAACAAACATTTGAAAGTAAAACAAACAGAGTGCTTTTTAATAAACTGATTTCAAATCAATAAGGCTTATAGAAGTACATCATATTTGTACTTGTATAATGTTTTTTTTTTCTTCCGGGATCTATCGGTAAGCTGATAATAGCCTGTTAACTGTTAATCTACATTAATTAGAACATTTAGATCATCATCATTAACTGATTATCAAATAATTGTCAATTAAAAATGAAAAATAGTATTGTATTGCCTTGTATTTAAATAAAATGGACTGTTACACACCAGAAATGCTTGAAAAAACTTACCTTTAAATCCCAAATAAGAGGAAAATGTTAGAAGTTAGGAAAAAATCCAGCAAAGATCCAAGCCTGTGTTTTAGAGTATGCTAGCATGTGTATGAGTTAAGTAAATTAAAAAGCAAACCTTTCAACCCCAAAAATACCTTCTTTATCATCCTGATCTTGGACTTTAAATTCACCTTCATCTGATGATGAGGATGATGATGATGATGAACTTGTTGAACCTTTTCTTACAACATATGGCCTCTGAGTAACATATTTTTCTCTTGTGCCCTCTGTGGAACCAATTTGTTGTGGTGAGTCAACTATCATATATTCTCTAGCTGGTGGTATGGCCTCCTTTTCATTATAAAACCGGTCTTCAGCATCCAATCTTTTGGAAACATGGTCATCATCAAATGACCAGCTTGGTGACCTTGACCTTTTCCCAGGATAAGTTTCATGTTCAGTGGTTGCAGCAGTTTCTTTTTCTGTAATATCTTCAATTTTTGGATGTTGGGATTTTTTAAGCATACTTTGCTCAATCAATGTTGGTTGTTTTTCTGTTTTGTCACTGCCATAGCTTTGTTTCACTTTGACTCTTCTAACAACCGTCAAGGTTGTTTCACAATAGACTTCATCCTTAGGTGGTTCAGACTCACCCTGGTAATCTGTAGGATATTCAACAGGAATGGCTGAATGATATTGCTCCATTACATACTCAGGTCGTACTGCTCCTATATCTGAAAATGGGACAGGCTCAGATTGCTCTGGTTCCTCTACAACAGGGTAAACATCAGGTTCTTCTGTAGTTGGCATTGTTTCTTTATAATATGTATCAATATCAGTTTCTACAGGTTTACTGGGTGCTGGTGTAACAGTGTCTAGATCAGTTTCAACAACAGGCTTACTTTTTGTTTCATCATCACATGAAGAAGAAGAAGAAGAGGATGATGTTCTTGATCTTGGCTTTTGTTTATCATCTTCTAAATCTAACTCCCTAACAACATCAACATCAGTTTCTCCTTTCAATTTGTCATTCTCATCTTCGAAGTCTGATGAGGAGTCTTTTCTTTTGCTTTCACCATAGTGAGGAAAATCTATATCAGTTTCTTTTAATTTATGCTCCGGTTCACTAATCTCTTTCAAGTCATCAACATTTGTTTCAAAAGGAATTTTATCAATATCTGTTTCAATTGGGTCTGATTTCTCAGTTTTCTCAGTTTCTCCTTCATCATCACTTTCTGAAGATGAAGATGTAGACACTTTTGTGTTCTCAACTGGCAAAATAGCTGGAACTTTTTCAAACCTATCTAAAGTCATGGGTTCTTCTAAACAAATGAATGATTCTACCCGATTTGTTTCCCTTTCTGATTCTTTATATTCTGAAGCTAGCACTTCATTATCATCTTCTACAACTGATTTCTTGACATTATCATCATCACTCTCTGATGAACTACTGCTTGATTTAGATGATCTTCTTGCATTGTCATCTTTATCATGTAAATCTTCAATAAATTCTGGTTGATCAATAACTTGCTCTGGTAAATCAAGCGCTTGTTTAGCAGTATCTGACTCTGGGACAGGTACATTTGGTTGAGAGTATTTAATTTCTTTTGCCACATTTTCTACAACAATAACTTCATTAGGATCAACAAATTCTGCTACATTTTCATCAATTTCAACAGATTTTGTGTCTATTTTTAAATCAGTATTCATTTTAAATTGCTCTTGCTTCTCTTTAGTATCTTCATCACTAGATGAGGATGATAAAGATCTCTTTCTAGGTGAATGCCGTGCTGTGACAGTTTCTAACATAAATACAGCCGATGGTTCATCACTTTCTTCTTTCATTTTATCACCACTTTCACTTGAAGATGATAATTTTGTGCTTCTTTGTTTGTCTGATAGTTCTTCATCATCCTCAGATTTTTCTTCAGTTTTTCTAACACTTTCATGCAAATTCTCATTATTTACTTTAATATCCTTATGTTCATTTTTGCCTATCTTATTACTGTCTTCAGAGTCACTGTCACTTACTGATTTTACTTTCTCTTCATCACTTTGACCAGAAGAACTTTCAGAGCTTGATTTTTTCCTTGCAATGGTTTCAGGTTTTTTAACATTGGGTGAATCGTCAACATCATTATCATCATTATCAAATATATCATCTACATTTGTTTCTTTTGAAGGAGCTTTTATTATGTCAAAACTTTTCTCCTTTTCTATGCATGCTTTATCTACATCAATCTCTTTCATTTCATCTGCATCCATATTTTTAATAATTTCAGGATCTGATTTCACTATAAATTTTGCCTCACTTGCAAGTGGCTCATATTCTGTTCTTACTTCTTCAACTTTATCTTTTACATCACTCTCATCAGAAGAAGTTTCAGATGAAGAATCTTTAACTTTAACAGTTCCTTCATCATAAAACTCAACCTGAGGTGGATTTCTTTCCCCAAGTTTGGTTTCTTCATTTAATTTGTCTACTGATTCATCAAACGGCCCTTCGTTTTTGTCATCTGATTTGCTATCACTAGTTGTACATAGTTTTTCATTTTCTCTATCACTTTCATCTGATGAGTTACAAGAACCAGACTGTTTCTTTTCAGGCATGCTGGAATTTGCAATATCATCAAAGATTTCATCAACATTTGTTTCAATAGAAGGTTTTTTCCCAACATCTAAATCTGTTTCAACAATTGGTACCTGTTTATCAATTTCTGTTTCTATAGAAAAATTATATGGCTGGTTATCACTTTCATTATCACTAGAGGATGAACTAGAATGTTTTTCGATTTTGCTGCCTGTTTGATTTTTAATGTTATCAACATCTGTTTCCTTTTGTATTTCTTTTAAAGTATCAATAGACAACGGGACATTACTTATAAATTCTATGTTTTGATCTTCATTGTATTCCTCATCTTCATGTTTTAATTTTGAAGTTGGTTGGTCTGGAAATGTGCTGTACTCAGTTTCAATATCTGGTGACCGAAAGGATGTCACTGCCTCAGATATTTCATCAGTAACAGCATCAAGATCAGTCACTAATTCACCTTTAGAAGCTGCTTCAACATCATAACCTCCCTCATTATCAGTATCACTTTCTGTAGAAGAAGAATTCCTTGTTGTCTTCCGTTCAGGGAAATGTGCTCTTAAATCTTTGCTTCCTTCAGTGCTACTGTCAGAATCAGAATCACTTGCTGAACCTTCAGATTCACTTGTGTCACTTTCATCCGAAAATTTTTCATTGTCTATCACTGTTTCAGCGAAAGTTACATGTAACTTCTTAGAGTCTTTTTTGTGTATTTCTTTATCTGCATCATGTTCAATTTTTTCATCTTCTGTTGCTTTTAATATGACATCTTTTTCATTTTCATCACTTTTCATAGGCTCTTCTGCAGCATATTCTGGAGATGTATTCGGCACTGTCACCAAGCTTTCAGTTGAATATTGTTGTGACTGTTGCCTAGTATCAAATTCCATAAATCCAGAGCCATTGTCCTTTGGTGATTGTAAGAACTGTGTTTCTGTTGTAAGAATAGGTTCATTGTTTTCTATGCTATGCAATGTATCAAATTCCCTATCATCTTCATCACTTTTAATATCAGACTTTGATTCAATGTCTATTTCAGGAACTTGCATATCATTCTTTTCATATGGGAAATCAATATCTGTTTCAATTGAGTGCTGGAGAATCTGAGACTCAAGCTTAAAATCAATTTCAGGTTCTTGCAAAGGACTCACTGGCCTTTTGACATCATTCTCTGGCTCTCTTATAGGTGACACTGGTGAAACTACTCTTTCTTCATTTTCCTCCACAACTTCTGGATAATTTGGTTCATCACCTGGTTTCAGATCTTTCTCTGGTTCACCTACTGTTTCAAAATATTCCTCTTCACTTTCTGAACTACTCCGGCTGCCAGATGATTTTCTTTCTTTTTTGTCTTTATTGATTTTATCTTTGTTGTCTTTGTCTTCCTCATCTGAACTACTACTACTGGTGCTTCTTTCAGATTCTCTTCTTTCCCGTTCTTTTTGTCCTAAGATATCTCCTTCTGGCTCTTTGTCATCCTGATCATTGTCTTTTGTTGGCATGAAGCTAACAGGGGCTTCTGACCTAGTAACAATGCCCATTTGTGGGTCTATTGATTCTTCAATTGTTTTCTCTTTCGATAGTATTACCAGTCTTTCCACATTGTCAAGCTCACCATAAAAACGGTCTGAAATATCAGAGCCTTTGATTACAATGAAGAGCCTTAAAAGTATTATGTGCTCTTAATATTTTTCCTAGTGAAAAAAATACCAACAACATCGCATGTATCTTTTTTTCCTGCAACCAATGCATTTAGTTAGTATATTTAAAAAAAAATCCTTGTCTCCTACAGCAAAAGCAGACAATAAAACCTTATGCAAAAACCACTGTGTGTGCTCTAGCCTAGCTTCATGAGCTAAATATATAAGCTCAGCTGAATATATGTATATATATATGTGTGTGAATCAAAAGGCTTTATTGCAAAAGGGACCAACTTGTGGTGCATGAAGCTTCTTTTTTGTTAGATTTACAAAGCTTACCTGTAAAAATGAATTAAATTTAGCACATTTGTCAAAAGCGAATTTCATGAAAATAGCTTTATCTAAACTTCACCCATTCTTCACTTAAAAAAAAAAAAAAAAAAATTAAAGAGGTTTTACATAAAAGAAACATATGACCAAAAACTGAACCAAGAAACATCCTACTTAATACTAGATATTCCATATATTTGAAAAAAGAAAAACAATTTTGAAGCATTTAGGTGTTGGTTTTTTTTAGTTTAAAGTCACACTATGTTAAGGTCATATGGAGACTTTCAGCTGAACATGTGGGGGAGGATCTTAGATGCCCATCATTGTACTATTTATAGGCACAATTCATGCACCCAAGTAAAAACAATGACAAAAAGCTAGATACATAGCTTCTTCACATAACACAACATGTGAGGTCCTTGGCAGGATTCAAATCCACAGCAACGGGCACAATTGATTTTAAGTCAGCAACAGTAACACTTGTTTATAGTTCCTTAATACACAAGCCTTAAAATTATGTGAATGCAAGCCTTAAAATCAATCTATAGCATATTGATATTTCTTCCTCTAACCAGGGTCCAATTGAACAGTAATGAAGGATAATCTTTTTATCGATATTTATATAAATTTCATTCTGGTGATTTAGATAAAGCAATCTTCTTGAAGCTCCTGTTGGTAAAAGTAAGTTTGCAGAATCACAAGCTGGTCAGAAATATAATATTGGGGTGAATAATGAAATGAGGAGTAATGTTGGAAATAATTTTTAAAAAAAAGAAGAGAAAAATCCTTGGTTTTCCATAAACTTACCTGTTTATACTTTCTGTAAGTAAACCAAATCCTTTCCTTGGAAAACCTCACTTGATTATTACTACTGTTTAGTTAAAGCTGGCATATGATAAGATATATGTAAATAATGAGTTACCTGTATAGATGCTCCTCTATATATGAGGGTATAGGAGAAGCATGCTTATAAACAAATACATTGTCATACTACCTTTGGAACAATCTCTCCTATCTTTTGACTGCTGCTTCAGTTTCATTTGTTTACTTGTCATAAATTCAGACTCTTACTTTATATAACACTGTTTGTCACTGCATGTACTTGTACATCTTGCACAGTGCTGTTACAAAACCCTTCATTATTTACTGTACTTTATCAGCTTGTTTGTTCATAGACAATGTAAAGCTTGATTTTGATATGCAGCTTTTTAAAATGTATGTTATACCTTTAGTTTATTCAATCTTTTTTTCTTTCTTTCAAACTCTGCTTTAAATCTATTGATATTCATTAAAACTGTGCATAATTATGTATTATTTGTATCAGTATTTTTTCAAATGTATTCAAATTGATTTAACATCATTTATATTGTTTTTTACACTTTAAATAACCTTATGCCATGTGATCCGAAATTCCTTCAATGTACTGGCAAGAGTGCAGCTTTTGTGTTAATGGCATTTACCTTCTTCATAAGAAACTGGTTATACAAAAAGATTTTAGTGTCCAAACATATGAAGACTTGTGGACATTGATTTTGGAACTATTCATAGTTACTTTGCAGTAAGAAGGTTTGCAACATGAAAGTATACATTTCAGAAGCAGTACTTGGATTGCACAGAATGTCAGGCCAGGCTGTCAGGCCAGCCTGGCGTTGGGTCTGCCACATTGTAATTGGCACACAGAAAGGTAAGCACACAGTGAATAGTATTAATATGATATATATTAAATAAGTCTCCTTGATAGGGACTTTATGTCACTTTATGTGTTGTCTTTAGACATGTGCATGGCCAGAAAAAATAAAACTTTAATAGTTAAATAAAATCAATCTTTCTGCCAGATTGATGTACTGACTTTGACTACCAGTCAAAAAAATTGCTTCATGTGTTTCTATTTTATATTACACATTGTTAGTTAAGATCTTACATTTCATTAATTTTATGGTATGGTTCACAATTTTTTTGTTTTAATATACTTGATTGAATTTATTATCAGTGTTACATACTTTAGGAAAAAATTCAACATTAACACAGAGGTGCTGTACAAGGCATTCCTGGACAAATATATATCAAGTAAAATAGAAACTTGTTTAAATTCTATATTAATAGAAATTTTGAAAAAAAAATATGCACATTAATTAATCAAAATTCTATTTTCTATCAATTTCACCATTTCTGAATTTAACATACTCTATATAATCAAATATTTTTGTTTCCGAATACATACAAATATGTCAAGAAATACCTGCAGCAAATCTTGCATGATTAAGGTATGTTTAACACTGCAAACTTTTGTTATTAATGACCAATTTTGTTAATGTGCAAGCATTAAGTATTAATTAAAGATATCACACTAGAGATATTAATCAATGTAAGAAGAACTATTGGTATCTAAAATGGTGTAAGAAAGATTAGCATTCTTGTGTTATTTAAACTGTCACATCACAAACATTTCATTCAAATTTTACTTTTTTTTCGCATTTTGCCCCCCGAAATCATACCATATCACATTTTGCTTTTATACATATTAAGCAGAAGAATTTTCTAAATTGCAGACGGTTTTTAAAGAAAATTTTCATTCAGATTGAGCAATTAGCGGCAATAGAATCAAAAGCAGACTTTTTTGTGCTAAAGTCCAAACATATCTGAATTAAGAAAGTTGATGCTAAGCACAGTCTATCCGAAAGTTCAAGTTACCATACTAAATTATGATTTAAATCAACAGCCATCATTTGACAGAGAAATACAGCAGATAGTATATGCAAGTTTTTTCCCCTCTTGAATCATAAACACAATATTGTACAAGTTAATTTTTGTCAGTAGCATTCCTCATACATCTACAAGCTCTGGGTAATAGGTTATTATTTTGTGGTTAATTTGGTTTCTTCAATGTTTCTGAATAAATGTTTGAAAAAGAGAAAACGAAAAAGAAAACAGAGAACACAGATTAAACTAAAAGAACTAAATCCATGCCATGCAAGAGATAATTGAAAGACAGAGAAAATATAAGCAAGGATGGTTAACAGCTGGCAAAAACAGAGCAAAAGTTGCAGGAAAAAGAAACACAAAAAATAATTTCTGCCTGCTGCTCCTTTTCTAATATTGCCAAATATGGAAATCTGGGCCATGAATAATGAACAAATGAATGAAGCCGGGAGCAGCAAGCTCCAGATATTAGAGGTATTAAAACTGACAGAACTGTTTTTAGTATCTACAACTGAATGACAGGCATTTCTTTGCTAAGTGTAGAGTTAGAATACAAAATAAATGTGGCACTATTTTTCATTCAAATAAATAAAGATTAAAAATATTGGCATTTTTTAAAAATTGGTTGGTTAGTGACAGAACTTTGTTTTTATGTTGCTGTTGTTTTTTTTTATCTGGCCATGCATTCTATTTCTTATTTTTAAATCTAAAGACAACATCAATACACAAAGTGACATATCATTAGTGTTGTTGTTGTTTTTAGTTGTTCATCTATGCTTTTAGAACTTGCATGCTTAATCAATCAAAGTTTGAAAGTAAAATATTAGATTTTAGATTGATAACAAATAAATAGAAACTATTATTAATGTTGTTAGAATAAAATTAAAACTTTCCTTTCACAGAAGCACATTAACAAACCCTAAAAGCATAAATGATTCAATGAGTTCAGTTAATCTCTAATAAGTAGTAAAATGATCCGGATTATGATTCAAATATTTAAAATGGGATGCCAACATTTGATTGGCTGAAATGTCTGCAAAGGACCATGGGAAAATGAGATTGGACCAATCAAGGAGCAGCAGGCTATGCAACCAAAATGGCTGCAAATAAAACAGACAGTAGACTGTGTACGGCAGTAGCAGCTAATTTATTGCAAAACACTTCAACATAAAATACAAGCACAAACAGTGGTATAAATTTAGTTTTGTTTAAAAAAGATACGTATGTTCCCACCTTTTGGACAAGTTCCCTCAATTTAGATATTACCTTGTTTTTGACTTGATCAGAGAACTGACAAGATTTTGTTAAGAATTTAAATGACTAAGTTCATATTATCACACAGGTGTTGCTATTCTTATACAAATTAATTACATATTCACTTATACAATAATTTGAAATGTCCGTAAGTATTAAACAAAATGTTTTTTTGTTTTGTTTTTTTTTTTTTTTTTTTTTTTTTTCCATTTAATAGATTGTTCATGCAAGTCAAATAATAATGGATGTTTGAAAACACACACGGGTTCCCATCAAAATAATATAGATACCCACACATGCGTTTTGAGGGTCTGGAAGGTCCAAAAAGTGGGAACATGCAAAAATCTGAGTAAACATTTAACACACCAATATGAATTATATAACATTGCTATAACCATTACCAAATTAACACTTTAACATAATACTTAAAGTCGTTAACAATAAACTGTTGTAAAATGTCTTTTTTCCTAAAATATTTCTATGGAATTCTTATTCACATAAAAAAAGTTAAGATAATTTTGTGTATACAGTTCTAAAAGTTTGTTTTTTAAGTAAATGCCAGTTCTGTATAATGATGTAGATAATAAAACGTACATATATATATAAAAAATGTTGTATAACTTGTAAATAAAAGGAATATACAAGTGTTGGCAAGTAAATATTGTAAATGTCACGAAAAAAGCTCCCTCTATGATTCAATACTACTGTGATACATTTTAATCTCCTATTGCACATAGATAAAAAAGAGATTTATATAAAATATGATGAAGGGGGAATGCAATAAAGTGAGTTTCTTGGAGTGTTATTAAAATCTCAGTCATTAAATTCACTTCAGCTTGGATTAGTCTGTCAAACGTTTTCCTATATTTGTCTATATTGTGATTCTAGATTAGTATTCAGTGAGTACACATCATTTCAAAAGGGGCACATTTAGTTTGCCTCATATTATTAGTTATTTACCATACCAAAAAATATTAACAATGGCAAGTAAAATTTTGAACATCAAAAAAATAAATGATCATTGAAGAAAAATCCACAAGATTTCACAGAAGCGAAGCTCTTCTTATTTAGCTCTATTTTCTGGATTTCTAGCTTGGTTATATTGTTATACATTTTTGCATAGAACAGTTCTCTTGATGGTATGAAAACACTGGATGGTTTTAAAGACTGGATTTTTCCTGAGTCTCTGAGCTTGAGATCAAGTTGGGACGTTGAACTCACATAGTATAGCAATACGTAATAGACTACAACATTCTATCACCTAATAATACAAGGATTACAAAAAAAAGTTTAAAGAGTATTTGCACTTATAATGAACCTAAGCAATTGCTAACTCATGGAGTAAAAAGTAAAGCAAATTAATTAGAAAAAACTTTGCTGGTGGTAACTTTGTTCACCTAACTGTCATGTGATATTTTGTCTCATTAAGTGATACCTGGAAACATCTATAAAAATGTTAAGTTCAAATCTTGTAAGTGACCAGTGTTATTAGATAGAATGAATGTAAAAAAAAAATTCTACCTCTATTATTCTGTATATAGAATATTTGCATGCCATCATGTTTGTGCAGTAATAAAAGTGTAATTAAATATCCAAAAATAAATGTGAAGTTAGTTTCTATTCTGATAATCTCCTTGTAATCGAATGCAAATGCAAAATGCATGTTGTACTAAATTTTTAGTCCAATAAATGTCCGGAAAAATAATAGAAGAAAAAAACGAAACTAAACCATAAAATAACACGGAGACCAAATACATGTATATACTGATTGCATGACCAGGCTGGGTGTCACTTATCATCTAATGTCACATGAAAAGGTCATATGACCAGATCACATGACTAAGGTCACATGACAGCAGTTCTATATATAGTTACACACCAGATTCTCCAGCATCTTGGGTATCCTCAGCAGTTCCATCTTCGCGAGGTTCAGAAAGCCGAGCTGCAAGCTGATCAATAGCCGACTCCTTCTGGACAGCTTCTTCTGAAATTGCAAAAATAAGAAATTGTTTGAAAAAGCCAAAAAAAAAAAATCCCCACAGCTCCTCCCGTGTATGATAACAACAATAACTTGGCACAGAATTTTATGATGAAAAATAATGCATGAGCAAACAATTGTTTAAAAAGTCTCTTATGTAAAATATTAAAATGAATTCAGCTGTGAAAATCATCATGAAAAATGACCAAAATAAAAACAAAATTGAATAATTATGCTCATTTTGAATCAATAACTATATTTCTAATTACTTCAACAACATTGTTGTAGACGACAGAATCAAAATGATTCTCATTAAAACAAGTTAAATACATATAGTACAGGCATACAACATTAATAGAGTTTATACATGGTTAGAATATTTACAACATCCATCTTAGGACAGACAGACAGATAGACATACACTATTTGTAGAAACATTTATTAATATTCTACACATATGTCACTTATCAGTTTTGATACAATTACGATCATTTCAACAGAATTCAAAAACTTTCCTTAAAAGTTAGTTTACAGAGATTTACAGAGATTATGCAATTCATTTAAATATTTTGTTTTAATTTCTTTACCAAATTAATCTGCAGCCTGCAAACCAAACCTTAATCACAAACCTTAAAAGTAATGAATTTTAATGGGGATAAAAGAACCACAATCTATAAATGTATAATTATATAGAAAATTGCACGAGGGTGTTAAGCTGATTTTATATCACACAAGATGATTGTGTAAAGTTGCATTCCCACGAGACCTGCAGAGTGCGAATATGTAAACGGGAATAACTGAATAATTTTCATCAAAGTGGTATATGATAACGCACAAAATCATTATGATTTAGGTTGCAGGCTACAGGAATTTTAATGTCAATGGTTAAAGGCTAAAATACTAATATCAGTTAATTAAATGACATGCAAATCTACCCTCAGCAAATCCAGTAATAAAGAAACTATTCGCTTCTAATATGAATGCTGCAGAATGAGAAAAATTAAAAAATCTTAAAATAACACTCAAAGAAGTATACAAAATCAATATATTCAGCAAAAGTGAAAAAATATTGTCAACATATTTTTGTTTCTATTCAACAGCACTGCCAATGAGCATTTTTGGCAGTTTCCAAATTAACAATACAATATTAAACAAAACAGATTGCCTTGTTTATAAACCAGACAAATGGGGAAGAAACTACAACACAAAGATTAGATATTAGTTTAGTTTTTGCAGTGGAATTGAAAGAAATTTTTTCAAATATCTCTTGTTAACAAAAGTGAAGTTTTACACAATGAATAGAGTTTCTTCTATATGTTAAACAACTCATAAAAGAAGGTAATTTAATTTTCTGCTAACTTCTCCAAACATTTGCCTAAAGGTATTATTATGTAAATGGCTAAATAACAAAAATGTAAAAACCACAGAAAATTAATTGAAATAAGATTGGCAAAAAGAAATCATTACTGAACTTATTCAAACAACCTGAATTTTTGTATGTGTATGAAAAAAAGTTCTTGACGCAAAATTCATCAATAATATATACAATAATAATAAGCAATGGTAAATTTGAAAGGAATCAGCAAAATTACAACAAAAATCACAAAAGGTGAAAAAGTAATAAACCAGTACAAGTATTTTAACAAGAAACAGAATGTACTGCCTGTAGCGGTAAAATGTTGTAATTAATTTTCTCTTACTATTTTAGGTCATGTCTTTGTAAATATTTATACTGTTTTAATTCTAACTTGATGAAATGTGGAATATTTCATAAATGTACAGTTTTTCTAAGTCAGTTCCAAAATTTGTGTCAAAAAGTCGTTTAATCACACAAATTGTGGGCTTGGATAAAATCGACTTAAAGAAGGTTACAACTGTTTTGCACCAACATTTTCAAAATGATCAAAAATTTATTATTAAATATTTTTTTCCCCCCAATTTTACTGTTATTTCTATAAATTAACTTTACTGGTTCATTTTACAACAATATTACAAATAGCAAGAAAAAAAAGGCTTTAAGACTGAAGAAGATAAACAGAAGGTAAAGTCAATTGTGTGATCAGTATACCTCCAAGAACCACAACTCTTTCACTAGTGCCACGAGGGGTGATCGTTGTTATCTTTTTAACTGTTTTCCATGTAACGCCATCCTCTGACACCTGAAATATCTCCTCGATTTCTGTAACCGATTCAGATATTTCTTCCTCGACAATTTCAGTAGATTCGACAACAGTAGCATCAGTTTCATCTTTCTGAGCGTCTTCAGTGTCTGCATCCGGTTCTGAAGCCTCAACCGGTTCCGATTCTTCAATAACGGCAACAGAGGATTCTTTCTCCTCATCCTGAGTCACTCTTGTGGCCTCAATTTCAATGGCTTCTCTGATTTTATCCTCCTTGGATTCTGATTGGTTCATTTTATGAGAGCATGATGGGAAATAATTTTAAAAGATGAGGAATGGTTTCGTAAAAAAAGTGATCAATGATGATAATTGATTCATAAATGTTTAACTATTTTACACGTGAAAATACATCACACTAGAAATTTGTTTTTCATATACAATACACAGTTTATTAAAGAAAATATTAATTTTACTTTTACTGACATGACTGAAAATATGTTGGGCTACTTTAAAAAAAATGCCATTAAAATTTCAAAGTTAAATCTATCTATTTATTATAAGATTTTTTTAAGTTAAACATCTTAAGTATTCAATAGTGAATTCAAGCAGAAATAATTATAATAATAAAAAAAATCTTGTAAATTCATTGTAAAAATACTAAAAAAATTCACAGCAAACAATAAAATTACAAGGTGTGCAAACAATATAAAATATCTGAAATCTGAATCAAGTAGATTGAGGGGCCTGGTGAGAAATAATTATGCATCCTGTATTAACTCTTAATAAAAGATACAAAATTAATGCTTTGCACCAGGCCCTGATCTTTTGTAAAAAAAGACTAGAATTTTTACAAAAAGACTACAATATAAAAATGTGTGTACAAACAATAGTAACAATATATCTAAGACTTTGATATAAAGCAATTATTTAATAAGCAATCAGATTTGAAATTCTTAACCCTTAACCTGAGGAAACTGACCATGTTAGCCTTGCCAGCAGTAAAGAGCCAGGCCGGCATGCACCTCCGGGCAGCTGAAACAGACTCCATACTGTTGGCTGTTTAACATTTCTTCTAGTATTAATCAAATATATTTAATATATATATAAAATTGTTCCATTCAGAACACTGCTTAAGGTGTTAAAGCTAGTCTGTAAAAATTGTAAGTTTTAATGGGGAATAACTCCAAAAATATTGCTTTCAGAATTATGCCCCTTGTCTCACAAGCTGACAATGGAAACTGGTCGAGTCCATTTACAAAACTTCTGCCAGTTCTGCAGGTTAAGGGTTTAAGCAATAAAATTATAAACTATCCTAAATGAAACCTACTAAATGGCCATCAATAGCAATAAGGAATATTTGTTTTGTTTACGATCCATTCTAAAAGTAAATCAGAAATTTCTTGGGTTTGATTCTGACAAAATTTTCTGCTCATCATTATAAACAATACGTAAATATCTTAGAATCAAAGGTATTCAAAACATAAGGTCTTCAGCTATCAAGCAAACAAATAAAAGTCAAGACATTAAAATTAATGCCAGGTCAATTCTTGAATGTACTAATTATGATTTAATCTAAACAAAAACTTTTAAAATAAATTTATAAAGGAGAAATAAAGCAGGGGGAAAGATTATGATAATAGGACTCCATGTATACTGCATAGTACAGGTGGACTAGGATCATTCTGTAAAATAGGGTTTACATGTCATAGACGGACTTAAAGCAGCGGGGGAGTAGAAAGCAAAATCTTTTCAATACCTAGGGGGAATAAGCTTCACAGAAGTATGTTTGACAGAGACAATTGTTTATGAATGTATCATGAAATACAGTATCATGAACTGCAGTATCATGAATTGCAGTATCATGAACTACAGTATCATAAACAACAGTATCATGAACAGCAATATAACTACAGCAGATCAGCCTTTAATGCTTTCTGTAGAGAAGCAAGCGCTTGCAAGTTGCAAACATCATAGCATCTTCTAGAAACAGCCCTATGGCAACCATAAATATCTTTATATGAGAATAGTAAAAATAGAACAGGCCTTAAATATATCAGTTTTTATTCTTTTTTTCCATCAATTCAACATCTATGATTTCAAGGATTTACAAAATAAAATTAAAATTGTTATATTGTGATCATCTTAAAAATTGTAATTAGAATAAAACTGATGAGCTCAAAAAGTAAAATGACACAAATTTTTATGATTACTATTACATTTTTGTTACCTACAATTGATTTAAAGGTCCATTTTCTTTCATAACTTAAAAAAACAGCGCTATGGAAAAAAAATATTGCAAATATATTATAATGAATAAAAAACAGGAGACTGATAAGAGCATTGTCAAAATATATGGCTTAGATCCAACCACTACATCAAAGATGTTTCCCCTGTTTTCCTAGAAAAAACTACAGTTATTACATTTTGACAAACAAATATTTAACAGTTAACAAATAATATTGAGATCACAAATGTTACACTTTGAAGCATGGTTGGTCCTAAATGAGACTTTTTTAAAAATCAGTACTAAAAAATGATACATTTCTTTTCACAACATCAAACGCAGCATAGCAAATTTATTGACAAGATTTACTTTTTTTTTGGATTAGCTTAGGATGCCAAAAAGCAAAATAAGCTAAAGATTCTAGGACACATCCATCACCATACACTATTTAGAATTCCTATGAGATATATTGTATTTGTAAGAAAAGTAGATAAGTAATCACTTTAAATCAACCCAAACCTGAGAAATGTTAGCAAAGAACAAGAGACAATTAGAAATAACAGGAAAGGCATTCTAAATAAACTAGAGAAAAACCTTTTAAAGGTGGCAAAATACAAAACTTTATCACTTGAAAAATGTTCAGATTTCAATTTCGATTGTATACGATCGTTTATTTAAACAATAAGATTAAGGTAACCAAAAAGCAGATGATGGAATTTACACCACATCTATTTAACCCATTACTTCATATACACGCCTTTTAACGCCTTTTTCACCCCCCCCCCCCCTTTTGTTGTCTCAAATGATGAAAAAATGCCTAATTTAGGCCCCAAACACTTGTGTTTTGTTTGAGAAATGTTGTTAAAAAAAGTGACCTCTTTTTCGGCGCGGCCCCCCAACCAAAAGATACATCAGGGGGTTGCCAGAAGGGGGATGTGCCCCCTTCTGTTTGGGGGGGGTTTGAAGGGGGGCGGAGTCCCCCTCATCGCCAAGAAAATTTTGGACTTGTTAGAGGCTGTAAATGACCCCAGATTGATCATAAGGTAACGTGTAACCAACGCTGAAAAGCATTTGACTCTATCTCAATCCATTGAGAAGTTGCAGCACTTTGAAATCAATTTTGATGGAAAAAATCAACGCAAAATAGTGATTTTTGGCAATTTTGAGATGTCCCCTCGTTGCCATGGTAACAGAAAATTTAAGCCTGAGCATGTTGTTGCAAGGGCAATGGTCCAGTCAACATTTGTGCCAAGTTTGATTAGTGTTGAAGCAGTTTTTATAGTATTATAGCAATTTGATCTTGTAACGGGAGACTTTTCAATGAAAACAGCCATTTTTCACAAAATGCTCATGAAGCAATGGGTTAAATGATTACTTCTGCTGAAAATAATGGTAATTGGTGGTATATATGACCAATGTATTTTGCCAGCTTCAGTGTAAGCAAACAAGACTGTTAAAACAAGGTAACTGTGTAACAGGGAGAAAAACAGACCACTTGATAACACCACAGCCACATGATGTGCAGAAAATAAACGACACACATTACACAGGTTGATTGCAAAACTGTTGTAAGTCCTTATTTATTTCATATTAATTTCTGCAGTTTTGCAGTCAACCCTTGTTTACGTAACTATTCATAAACATCAAGTGTTATAATGTGGTGCAATACAGAATTTGTGAATACCTGGGACAAATTTTTCCTCGGGACTCGGGGGAGGGGTGCGTGTCCCCTCTTCATCGTCTTTTTCTGGAAGCACGTAAAAAAAACCAACGCTTACACAATAAACAAGATCGTAATGAAAAACATGCACAAAATTGTGAAAATATCATTCTACAATTAACAAGGCTCCATTTGTGCAAAACATTGCTTCATATAAAACTGTTCTTTGCAAAAAACATGCCAAAAAAGCGTGCAATTACAGCTACTTTTTTCATATGCTTAACTGTATTAAATTTTCAAAAGCGCAATATTATTATCACCGTGCAGTTGGTCAGACAGTAATATAAAATTTCTAGAAGCAGTGACTTAACGGAACCCTGTTGTATAAATATTGAATAATCTTTAAGCTACTTTAGAAATAAGCTTATAATAAATAGGATTTCTGATAAAATAATTCATTCTAAGACAGCCTATAATGTTCTAAAAAATGGAAAGAATTGTTTTTGCACTGAAATGATTTAAAACATCTGGATTTTAGACTTATCATTTGATATATGAACAGATTCTATATTAAAAGAGTTACTATATTTACTTAAAAGCCCTCCACTGAGGTCAAAATGTTCAAAACCATAAAATTTCAATTTGTTACACAGTCAGACAGTTGCAGGTAAAATGGAAAAAAAAAGAGCGAAAATTAGATATACTGTGAATTAAAATAAATTTGATTCATTTTGTGCAATAATTGGCCAGATTTTTGTTAAGAGTTCATTCAATTTTCGGTCATTTTGTTAAAAGTGGCCATTCAGTTTTCGGTCATTTTGTACAATACAAATCATTATCCTGGAAAAACAGAATGAACCAATGATCGGAAATTTCGCATTACTTCATCAAAGTGGTACATAATTTTTGTATTCCAGTCCTTTCATGTCAAAAACCTCAGTGGAGTCCCTTTAAACATTTGTAAATTGTATCCAAACTAATTTATATTACATCTCTAATGTATGCTTTTGGTTTCATTAAAAAATAATTACTGTTATATTATTTAAGTAATAGACAGGCAGACTTATTATTGATACATGTATATATAATTCACTACTGATTTAAATACATTCAGTGTTGTATAACTGACAATGTTAAGTCTAAATCCTTGTACTCAACTATTAGACTTTTGCATGCAGTGTTATACACATGTCTTTGGCCGTAACAAATCAAAACTGCTGCTAGCTTTCTTATGCTGTTGTTTAATCAACTTGAACTGATAATTAGTTTCGAGATTTGACATTCGTAATTCCAAGTCATTTGCATTCAGTACCAAAGGTGTGCATTTTTTTCAATTCTGTAACAGTACTAAATTGTTTTTTTTCCAAAGACCTCCATATTTTTGTTCTGTCTCAAATCTCAGGATTTTCATTGGTCAGCGTACATTCTGTGACAGTTTCTGACCAATCAAATGAGATCTGAGTTTGAGCTTGGAAATTTTTTTAATAACTTTGTACCCAGTAAATGGCAACTTCTCAAACAATTAAAACAGCAGTAAGGTTGGAATGGCATTGAATATTAAACCAAATTGGCATGTGCTAAACCGAAGACTTCAATGAGAGCATTCTAGGTCAATTTACCAACAGATCTACATAATGTGCTATATATTTGGCCGTAAATCAAACAGATATTTCTCTACTGTTAAATATAATGATTCTCAATAATTCATTATTTCTTAAATTTTACTACCAATTCTTAGAAATTTCCATAATTAATGACACCCAATCATTTCAGCAGCAAAACGACACTGATTTTTATACAGGCCAAAGACAAAATTATACAGAAATAGATGTTTTCGTGAAACATATTACTGCATGTGTTTTGTACAAAGCTACAAAAAGTGCAAGAAACTTAAATATCACAGTAATATGGTAGAAAGTCATGCTGGAAATGTTAAATCATAAAAATAGTAACAAAACGAAAAACATAAGTTTGATTAATAATCGCTACGGTTACTTTCTGGAATATATACACTGAAACATAATATAAAATATGTTAATTAAACATAAAACGCACAATGTGTAAAGCCGCTTAAGGGAAATGAAAACACATCTCATGCTGCATATTGTGTAGGTATACGTCTAGAGTACATGCGTAATTCTCGTGCAGCTATTTTACCTTCGGTTGGTTTCGAATCAACCACTGCGTCAACCGAGGATTCAAGCTGGGGGTCAACAGATGACTCGAGGACGGCTTGTTCCTCGGCCACCTGACGCTCAGACTCTGTGACAGGAGGCTGGGGAGCCCGTTTAATCTCGGCCTCGACCCCAAAAGCCTCCAGTCTGGCAATGGTATCATCATCTTTTCTCTTTTGTTCTTGAATGATGGTGTCTTCTCCAATTGAGGCTGTATCTTCTAGTTCTAAAATATGTTTAATTTTTCTCTAAAAAAATACCCCTTTTTTCCTTTTAACTAAAAACATGTATTAACAATAAATGCTAGAAAGTATATAGAGAATACAAACTGAAATGTGTAAGATATATACTTTATGTCAGAACAAATACATAACTTATAAACTTATAAGCCTAAAGGAGAGAATAATTTCAAGATTCTTAATCTATTTACTAGATCTGCAAAACGGCAGCTAAATTTAGAAAGATTTCATAAAAAATATTTCTTGTTCGAAAAAGCAGACATTTCCTTTTCAGCAAACTTATATAGTATACATTTCTATATATTTCTATGTTTCTAACATCTATGGTTGTGTATGCCACCACCTAACTATTTTTTATACTTTATTACTACATATGCTATATAATACCATATGCTATATAATATCATATCAACATATATATGAAACAATGTTGCATGTTAAAATGTATTGTTTTTCTTATAAATATCTCCTATTTACGTAACCAATTACAAGTCAGAAATGGTCATTCAACGATAGATTGAGATCACTCACAATTTCATATAAATTTAAATTATCATGAAAAAACTATTATTCATTGTATATCTTCACAGAACTTAGCCACTTAACATGTACATCTAAACACAGAGCAGTATGGTAGATATTACTTAATTTTATTTGCAACTTTTAATTACAATCCAAATATGTAAAATGGCAATGACTACAAGAGAACAATTAATTGAGCACAAGATTTATCTAGATCAAGAAAAAGATTCTATCAAGTTTAACTTAAAATCACAATCATATACATGCAGAAACATTAAAAGTAATGCTAACACAATATCTACATACTGACAAGTCAGTTCATATTATTATTCCAAACCCGTCTTGAACCAAAAATGATTACACTTTGCCAACAGTTTTAGAGCCAGGCCAGCCTGAACATCCATTTCACTTGACCAGGCTCTATACTGTTTGCAAAGTAGCCTTGATATCCCCAAAATGGATAATGAACAGTTCTGAAAATTGGAAGCTGGACAAGTCCATTTTAAAAATTAGGAAAGTCCAGGATTAACGTGATAGATTTATCTTGCTTTGAATTTGGAACAGTCCATTCATATGTTAAGGGATTTCAGTTTCAAAATGTCAAAAATTGAGCACAATACTGGTGACAAAGGCTAATCACTGTTAGTTCTAGCAGGACAAGGGTTAATTAAAAATAGTAATTACATGTAATGTTATTTTTGATACAAGGTAATTAACAATTAATTTATGTCATATAAGTAACATTTGGTGAACATGTTATTTGGAATGTTATGGAGTGGTATAATTAATATTCAGTAAGTATCAGTAAAACCTGATTTGTCAGTGAACACAACACAAAAATACATCTAAAATTTCAGCATTCCAGTTTGAGTAGTTCTACATTACATGCAATCTATTTTTCCTTCTGTTTTCTTTTTTTCAACGTGAATCTCTACAAGAAATTGCATCAGTTCTATGGTTGATAATCTAAGCAGTTATCCGCAAAACTCACTCACAATTTTGTTTTCAAGAAACCTAAATGTTCATTTCTTTTAGGAAAGGACTTCAGCTATACACAGTAACATTTAAACTGTAATGCCAATTCCAACACATTTTTGGACATATATCAATTGGTTCACCTAACTGGCTTTATAGTTCAGCTAACTAGTAATGACCAATTTTTCAAAGTGGTGAGAGACAAAATTAATGATAATTTATTAAAATTTGAGATCAATTGCCAAGGAGAAATTTCACATTGCCCGATGGATCGAACCAGTGACCCCTGGGTTACAAATTTCCTATTGAGCTAAGCCATCAGACTACTCATTCTAAACCTCAGCATTTAAGTCATTGAAATTCTGAACTAAAGAAAGAAAAAAAAGAGCATGCTCATAGAAAATTAATCCAAAATTTAGGCAAACTCATTTACAATATTCAACTTTATCTAATTATTATCAGACAACTAATTGTATAATTCAATTGTTTCCTGTAAAAAAATCAAGACTTCATTTAATTTTCTTTCTAAACAACAAGATCACAATCTAAATTTTTACAATGACAAGAAAAACAACAACAACAACAACAAAAAGGAAGTGTTAGTAAAACTCAATCCCATCATGCAGTGTTACAAATGGCCAGTGTAGGAGCAGCCATTTTAGTGTGAATACCTTGAGTTTTATTTGCTGAGTAACGTTTATCACGTTCGTCCTCAAGTTCGTCCATACGCATTATTAGATCTATGTAAGCCTCTTTCTTTTTATCAGAGATTTCTGGACGATCATCGTCGTCATCACCTGACGCAACTTTTCTGCGTTCATCAATTGTGGCAAACATGTCTTCAGATATTGAAAGATTGTCTCCTAGGTGGCAGCAATATATAAATGTGTTTGAAATCTATGAATATGTCGGGTTTTTTCCCCTCGTATTAATGATGATGTTTGATATCAATGAACATGTTTGAAATTTTAAAGTTATTCCACCAGCAGATATGAACATGTTTGAAATTTGAACATGTTTGAAATCTATGAACATGTCAGGTCCACCCCCCACCCCCCTGTATTTATGATGATATAAATGAACATGTTATTTTAGGAGCTATGAACATGTTTGAAATTTGAACATGAAATTTATAACATGTTAAAATATATGAACATGTTTTTTTCTTATTTCAACATGCTTAAAGTCTACAAGCATGTTGTAGACTTAAAGCATGTTTGAAATATATGAAAATGTTCGAAATAACTGACCAATTTTGAAAAAAAAAAAAAATTTCAAACAGTGCAAAATCCCAAATGATAGCTTGGTCAAGTATTGGGGTAACCAACCTAAAAGTGACTTTACAGGGCATGGTACAAGTATGAATGATGGTGATGTTTTACTAACAATTTACATACATCTCACACGCAGCATATCTACATTAACACACTGTAAGCCCCTCTACACACACGTTACATTACAACATGACATACATAATATGTAACAAGTATCATTACACACTCACATACACACCCACATGACAATGATATTATAATGAAAGACAAGAATGAAAAAATACATCTAACACATAAAGAAAGATAATAACACAAAAGTACAAAAAATATTACTACCGAAGTAACATTAACATTTGTATAAAATTGTGTAAATCATATAAAATTGAAAATGTCAAAACAATATATCACTATTTAGCTTAAAAACTAACTAAAGAAACATTTTTCTACAATAATCTTTCATTTAAAGTTTGATGAATTTAATTTTTAGATATTTCTCAAAACTGTTAAAAGGTCAACTATATATATGCGATACACAATAGCAGATGAACCATTGGTATTTAGACCAATAAAGCAGATGAACCATTGGTATTTATAACAACAAAACCAATAATAAATGTAGGTCTCCACATGATCTCATGTTAACAGTATTTTATAAAATAAGTATGAACAGAAATTTGAAATACGGTCTCTAAAAGTATATTTTATATTTTACATATCTTAAAACGACGATGACTTTATGAAATTAGCAAATGTTTATTTTCATAGGCCTATAGCCGTGAAAATCAAGGGCTAGCAATTTGGAAACTCTTATCTGCTAAATTAAATACAAGTCGATCTCCAAGTCCTCAATATTCAATTCATTTATATATTATCATGCAATTAATTATGTGCATCCAAATGACAGTCTCTATCCAGGTATTATAAAAATGTAACTCTCTCTTACCTTCGACAGGTGCTTGAGGTGCTACTCTGATCTCCGTTCTCTCTCCTTCACTCGAAATTGAAACATTTTCGTCTTCGTTTGCTGATTCTGACTCCTAAAAATAGTTCAGAACTTAAAAATTTCAATCATAATAATTATAATTTGTGAAAATAACTTGACAAGGTCTGATATATCTAAAAGTAACAAAAATTTTGAAACATAAGACAAAAGCAAGTGATGAGAAACTTTTCAGTTCTTCAATATCGCGAACAGCTTTTTATATTTCTTATATGCATATATTACAATGTTATTTCTGTGATATCTATGTTGTCATTAAATACTAGCCTTAACATTTTAAGTAAACCTAATATAAGATGTTGATTTCATTCTCTAAAATAATGATTTTCATATTCCTTTGAATAAAATGAGGACATTACAAAGGAAAATGGCATCTTCCAACTGAATTCTTCTTAAGTTTTTCATTAAAAAGCATATCAGTATTTACATCCACTAAAATATCATATAATTACTACTTCTATTTATAAACAGTTGCGGCAACATTTCCCACAATTAGATAGAGGGTTTGACAAGTGTCTGCACACAACCAACATGTTAAAATAAGCAAAGTGTACCATGTTTACAATATAAAGGTCACATTTTCCGCTAATTCAAGGATTTGATCATACTCCAATGAATCATATCTAACTCAGTGGACTAACATATAATGAAAAGATTACATGAAACAGGAAGAAGTCAAATAAAAATAAAAAATACCATCTTTTACATTTTACAGTTACATATCAAACATTTGGTCTCCCTTAAAAAAACTATGCTACCATTCAAAATCAATCACATAAATAAAACATGACATAACCATTCTTCAACGAAAATAAATAAAATATTTTTGACTTTCATACAAAAACAAGTTTTAAATTTTCATAATCTATTTCCTGCAAGGATAGTGTAAAACAAGAGCACCGCTAGGCGGAGCATTATATGCCCGAAAGTGTTTTTTTTTTTAATCAAGATGAAGCATTTGTAAGACATGGGACTAAAATAAAGTATTACCTCCTTCAAATAACAATCCTCCTTTGAAGTTTCAATATTGTGGTCCAAATGGAACTTTAAGTTATGTCCCAGAAACTGTTTTCAATTCTAAGGTAAAAGTGACCTTGACCTTTGACCTTGTGACCCCAAAATCATAAGGGGTCTTTTACCCAATATGGACAATCATACTATGAAGTTTAAACACAGTAGGCCAAATGATACTTAAGTTATATTCCGAAAACTGTTTTCAGTTTTAAGGTAATAGTGACCTTGACCTTGTGACCCCAAAATCAATAGGGGTCTTCTACCCAATATGGACAATCATCCTATGAAGTTTGAATATTGTGGGCTAAATGGAACTTAAGTTATGCTCAAGAAACTGTTTTCAATTTCTAAGTAATAGTGACCTTGACCTTTGACCTTGTGACCCCAAAATCAATAGGGGTCTTCTACCCAATATGGACAATCATCCTATGAAGTTTGAATATTGTGGGCTAAATGGAACTTAAGTTATGCTCAAGAAACTGTTTTCAATTTCTAAGTAATAGTGACCTTGACCTTTGACCTTGTGACCCCAAAATCAATAGGGGTCTTCTACCCAATATGGACAATCATCCTATGAAGTTTGAACACTGTGGGCCAAATAGAACTTAAGTTATGCTCCGGAAACTGTTTTCAGTTCTAAGGTAATAGTGACCTTGACCTTTGATCTTGTGACCCCAAAATCAAAAGGGGTCTTCTCCCCAATATCGTCAATCATCCTTTGAAGTTTGAACACTGTGTGCCAAATGGAACTTAAGTTATGCTCCAGAAACTGTTTTCAGTTTTAAGGTCATAGTGACCTTGACCTTTGACCTGTGACCCCAAAAGCTAAATGGGTCTTCTACCAAATATGGACAATCATCCTATGAAGTTTGAACACTGTAGGACAAATGGAACTTAAGTTATGCTCCGGAAACTGTTTTCAGTTTTAAGGTCATAGTGACCTTGACCTTTGACCTTGTGACCCCAAAATCAATAGGGGTCTTCTACCAAATATGGACAATCATCCTATGAAGTTTGAACACTGTGGGCCAAATGGAACTTAAGTTATGCTCCGGAAACTGTTTTCAGTTTTAAGGTCATAGTGACCTTGACCTTTGACCTTATGACCCCAAAATCAATAGGGGTCTTCTACCCAATATGTACAATCATCCTATGAAGTTTGAATATTGTGGGCCAAATGGAACTTAAGTTATGCTCCGGAAACCAAATTGCTAACGTTTTCAGTTTTAAGGTCATAGTGACCTTGACCTTTGACCTTATGACCCCAAAATCAATAGGGGTCTTCTACCCAATATGGACAATCATCCTATGAAGTTTGAATATTGTGAGCCAAATGGAACTTAAGTTATGCTCCGGAAACCAAATTGCTAACGGACGGACGGACGGACGGACGGACGGACGCCAGGGGGTATAACATAATATGCCCGAAATTCTTTCGGGCATATAAAAATTCAAAGATGTATTTCAAAATTAAGGAAAATATTTAAAACCCCAGTCATTTACATAATAGGGCCTCTATTGTGCATTTAAATACAGGAAGGGCAATAAATCTGTCAAAAATAAAAATACTATATATAATATGTCAAAAAATGCACAGACTATATAGAGTTAAAGGGCATTAACTCTGTCAAAAAATACACAGACTATATGGCATAAAGCCAGAATTAGCATGAATAGATCTGTAATTGATCATTTCTGGCCAGTTTCTTTTATTTTATCATAATTTTCAAAACCACAATTTAAGGAATATTCATATTTATAAGTTAGTGTTAGAGTGTAACTTATCAGTCTTTAAAAGTGATAATAGAAGAAGAAAAACACTGCAGTGGGTAGGAATCTTCAATAGATTTAAAAACAATAAACAGAAAGAAAAAGCTTTTACAACAGACAATCTAGCAGACAAATAGATAAAAGAATGAAAACATTTTACATTGAAAACACAACTCAAAATTATCCAATAAACAAGAAAACAATTCTGCGGACTTGGATATTTGAAACTACTGGTAATGTAAATAAATGAGACGAAAAAAATCATCACACATAGTCTTAAAACACATCATATTCTATTTATAGCCACAAGAAAATTACGGAGACAAGGGACAAAACTCTCACCTGTAAATCTTCATGTATCTACAGGATTAGAAACATGCAAGTGAGAAATGGCATTCTGGGTAAAATTTTACAATATTCATTCAGCACATGTTTTCCGAGGCGAAAATGTCAGTTAATGATGAAAATGTCAGTTAATGATTTCCCAATCATAAAAACGTACAAAGAAAAGTACGGTTGAATGAACTTTTCAAATAGGTAGGAGTTGAAAAACAGAATAAAGTACATATATGCAAAGCATGACACAGCAACAAGCAATTATGTTAAAATTGTCAACATAAAGAAAACAGTTTTGCTCATTCGTAAGCTCCGAAAATCTTTAAAACTTGCAGATCAAATCATCTCTTAAAGCATCAATTAACTTGTGTTTGAAGATGAGGATTTATATGGAATTCTTTTAAAAGGTTGTGTTTTTAGATTTTAAATTTTTCCCTGTAATTTTCTAGAGGAAAAGCTGTGGTAATATACATGGGGAAAACAACATACATTCATAGGGAGACCAAACTTAAGGCTCAGCAATTTTTAAAAACTCATATTATTTCTAACCTAGTATTTATCCCTAAAATTCTTCAATATGCATATAGAAGTCCTCTTACATATAAATAATGTAGGCATTGATATGAACTCTATATAATAGGAACCAAGTTGCCATTGGAAACAGAACAACCTATTCAATAAAATATATTCTACACCATCAAGTTCAGCAGAGATATCTGAACCACCTCTAGGAAAAAAAAAAAAACCCTTTTTTTTCAAACAAGTGAAGAACATCGTGCTATATTTCCCTATTTCATATTAGTTTAAAATTCACAATAGGCTCATACATGTTTGTTAACTGCAGACAAGAACGTTAGAAGAAAGTTAGCATTAACAAAGCAGAAAAGTGTTAATAAATTTAAAAGTTTCGAAAACTTATCCAAGGTTTAAGAGATGAGATATACAAACTGTACCTTGACAAGGTCTTTTTCATCATATTCTACATCTAGAGACATGCCTTTCTTGAGTGACGATTCTCTAGATATACCAATCTCATCTGCGAAATTGTCGAAGCCTGAAAAAAAAATATATGCCAAAATATCTTACTTTTTTTCATCACACAAAATATAGTTGTTCTTTTGCGTAATGATAAATAGTCCATGTTTCTTATTTTATTTGCCTAACAATCATAACAATTCTCCTTACTTTTAATTCAAAAGGAAACCTTATATAGCTAGAACTAAAGAATCCAAGGTCCCTGTCAGGATTTGAACCAACAGCATTGAGGAGCACGTGGTTTAAAGTCAATGACCTTAACCACTCTGCCACAGACTTATTTTTCTGACGCCAGTCAGAATTTCTTGAATATTATAAAAAGCGCTCATCTTCAATCGCAATTAACTCAAAAGAATTATGTAACTGATTTCTTTAATTTTGTTTATTTTAAATTCCTAAATCACACTGTCATATTGAAATAATATTATTGTTCTCTTGATTTTAAATTACACAGACACAGTTCGGGACAATCAACACATTTCAAGCTTTACTGGTGGAGAAAGACGCCATCGCCATGTGTTTCTCTGGGTATTTTTTCATTTATAAACATTTATATAGATCCACAAACCTTCCATTAATTAACTGGACAGTTTTCCCATGTTCTTTGTGGGATTCAACCCACACACTCTGATGTAAAGAATTAGCATAATAATTTTAAATGTATTTGTATTGACATATTTACCTGATTGGTCCATTGCTGCTCTCGCTGCTGCAGCTTCTAGTTCGTCCTCTACCACTTCAACATTATACATTGTCTTCTTTATTACATCCTCCCTGTTTACTTGTCGTAAACCATTCTCTAATGTGTTTCCTGTAACATTATATAATTACAATTCCATATTAAATAAGTACTTCATCATCAAATTTGTGTTACTGTTTTAGCCATTCATTTAACTTAGGTAAATTTTCAACATCAGTATTTATACCAACATAGAGGATTTTTCATAAATAAAGAAACAAGTACCTACAACTTTTATCAGAAGAAATGCTCTATTTGAAACAATAAAATGAATGAAAAATATTAACTTATATTCTCTTCTACCATTGTAGACTTATTGTTAAATGTATTAAATGGACTTATCCATCTTTCAATCTTATAGGGAAAATTATAAAAAATATATGTAGTCTGATCAGGCACTATTATCACAGGTACTTCATTTCTTGTATTCATGTATTTTGATATTGAAATCCCTTAAAATAAAATGAACTGTTCCAAAATTCAAGAAGGGCAAGTCCATTCCACAAATTCAGGAGATTAAGATTTCATGATTTGAGCCGAGCCATGACAAAACCAACATAATGGGTTTGCGACGAGCATGGATCCAGACCAGCCTGCACATCCGCGCAGTCTTATCTGGATCTATGCTGTTCGCTATCAGTTTCTCTACTTGTTATAGGGTTTGTAAGCCAACAGCATGGATCCTGACCAGACTGCACAAGCTGGTCTGGATCCATGCTGGTCGCAAACGCATTATGTTGGTTTTGTTGTGACGCGGCTGAAATTTTGTCAATAATGTACCTGTGGCTTCTTCTCCTTTCTTGGCCACCCATAGTTGTAACATGGCCAGTGCCTGATCATTCACAGTGTGGTAGTCAGATTTTATTTCGTTAATCTCCGCCCCCGTGATGTCAAGCTGTTGAGCTAGTATGACCCAGTCGCCTTGCAACGTGTCCGCTACATCGGTCAATTTAATCTGGGCGCGGCTAACATTGTCCTCCAGTACTGTAAAAAGATATATCGTAAATTAAATATAACAATTATACATGTTCATTGTTGCGATACTTGCTTTGTTTACCCAAAACCTTTTAAATTTCCTAATTTAACATTTGTATATAAAAACAAATGCTTAAGTTTTAATGACTGTTAAAATACAGTAGGAAAACTATTCAACCTTTATCAGTATTTTCAGCCAATTATTAAGTTTTAATTATGGTATCAAAAGTAATTTTCTTTATTACCTATTCCATGTTCTCTAAGAAGGGACTGTCGTTTCCTCACCTCCAGGGAAGCTTCACCTTCTAGTTCCATAGTAGAAGATGACTGAAATGTATGCATAGAGCAATGAAAAGTCCTATCATTATATATACCTTATATAAAGTACATGTAGTATTTTTCATTTTTTGTTGTCGGGAGTTTTCACCCACACAGACACTGTAAAGATTATATAAAGTATTTATCCAGTGTTTACCACCTCATGTTACAATTATGTAATTTACAGAATTTCAGTTATTATGTGATACTTGCAGTTAACATAGATATTTTTGCAGTCTAATCAGGAAACTGTGATACCGAGAGATTTATATTGTTTTCAGTCACCTATGAAAATGTAACAATATATGAAAAAAACAATTCTAAATTTTCAGGGGTGAAGGCTACAGAAAAATAAATATATTAATCATATAAAGATTAACAAAGAATTTATTTCAAAACTGGAACAAGAGCTGTCTGAAGAACAGCAAACTCAAATATTCTTAGTGCTTGATAGTAAAAAAAGAGCCCTCATAATGTAGTAAATAACAAAGGAAAAGAATTCTTTAAGATCAATGACATAGTTATGAGTCCCGGATATTAACAAAGGAGTTTCACAAAGGCCATTATTTCATTCAAAATCTACGCCAGAGCTAAGGTTCTTGGATAGCTGCCTTCAGTTATAAGTCTAAGAACATTTATTAAATTTCAAACGAATATCATCCGTAAATTCTTAAAATTACAATTGCATGCCAAGTTTTAACCAGGAAAGTTCAACAAAGGGTCATAAATCAGGCTTATTTTCCATGTCAGAGTTATTGGTTTTTGAATGTGACCACCAATTATGGTCACAAAGACTTGCATTAAGTTTCAAGTGAAAAATACCATCAATTGTTTTAAAGACTTACTTTGCATGCAAAAATTTAATCAAGAGCTTTCTATGTTCACAATGAGCCATAATTTAGTCAACATCCATTTCACAGTTGTGGGACTTATATAGTGACTTTTAATTACGAGACATTGTGTGAAGTGACAAGCAAATACTTCTAGTGGTTGATGAGACATGAAGTGACCCGTAAAACCAAGTGTGTTGTTTACACAGGTGCTGACACCAAGATGAGTAAGATTGTTCCACTATTCTTCAAATAGTTGAGCTAAAAATATCTTGATTCTTCCTCTTATGAAAGAATCAAAATCGGGGTTCAAACCAACAGCAGTGACAGGCAAGTGGTTTGAAGTATACGCCTTAGCCTATCAGCAGCAGATGCCCCTTGATCTTGATTCCAAAGGTATGCTCTTTAACTTAATCTTTCCTTACATTGTATCCAAAAATCAACCTTTAACAATGGACGTAAAAATTATATATCTATTTATGTAACCCATTTTCTTTAGTACTTACTTTGGACCATCCTGGTAGGGTTATATTAAGATTACAGATGGGACTTTGAGGAGCTTCTCCTCTAGCCACCTTTGGTTCCTTCATGAAAGCCACTCTGGCGGCCGACTCTTGATCTTGGTCACGAATCCGCACTGTACACGGCAGGCGGTTCTCACGAAAAGCTTTGAAATCGATGAAGAGTTGGTCGCCAGACTTTGTGACAGGTATCAAATTTCCAGCCATCTCTATAAATTGTTGCCTTCCCTCCAGTACCTGGTGAAGAATATAGCAATGCATTTGAAAAATTCTGACAGATTGAAAATTAGATCAAATGATGTCGAGTGATTTTATCCAAAATAAAGAGAAGTAAATTTACAGCTTCTTTCTTAGGAAATGTTTATTTCTATGACACATTCATAACTTGGATTTCCGCTCACAAGTTAAATTACCTGCAATTTGGTTTAATTTATCAATAAATTTAATATGGTTACAATGTTGCATTAACTTTGCACTCTCAAGTATTTAAATAATTTAAACATCGATTTCATAAATCTTCTTCAATATTTCATTTCCAACCATCAAAAACATCAAAATTATCAATGAAAGCATTTTTTCATACTTAACTACCGAAATGGATTTTATACTTATACTTACTATGTTTGAGCAAATCAGTTTAACACCATATATTGATTATGAAGTGCCATACATTAAAAGCAGAACTACATGTACTAACCTCTACATCTCTGCTGCGTGCTACTTCAGTAAAGTTTTGTTGTTTCTCCAGAGTTTTATCTGTACGTTCGTCGGTCATACAGAACATACGTAGTTGACCTTCCTCGGTTCCGGTACGCTTGGCAAACACCACAAATCTCGCCATATACGGTACATTGATAGCCTCGTGGTAAATCTCAGTAGCCATGCTTGCCGACTCGGTAGTCGCCTGACAATCCATCAACCAGAACCTGCAAGTTGGTGATAGAATTCATTACATAAACGTGGCATGTCAAGGATTGAAACTGCTTTGAATTAAAGATACCGGTAATTAAGTCTGTAATACTTTCAATACATATTCCCCGATGATTCACTCCTTACTGAATCAATTATAACAAGAGTATGACTAAAAAAATAGTTTTTCTTTAATTTGGCTACAAAACGAATTCTCAAAAATTGTTTCCTTAATTTTTAAACAAACAAGTTATAATATTCTCTTTAAACAGATATCTGCGATTAACACCAAAAGGTTATCAACTTAACTTTTGATTAAACATAAGAATATAAAGCTAGTTGTTCAAGTGGGAAGATAAATGAGCCCCGTCACGACAAAACCATCATAATGCGTTTGCGACCAGCATGGATCCTGATCAGACTGCGCGGATGCTGTTCGCTTATAAACCCTATTACAAGTACCGAAACTGATAGCGAACAGCATGGATCCTGATCAGACTGCGCGGAGGCGCAGGCTGGTCTGGATCCATGCTGGTCGCAAACCCGCTATGTTGGTTTTGTCATGACACGGCTCAAATTGTAACTGAAATTATTTAATACCTGGCAGAAACGGTGGTTGTGAACGAGACACAGTCATTGGTGAACTGCAGGTTCTTGTTCTCTGTTATATCCTCCCACACAGATGCATTAGCTCCGCCTACAAAATATAATAATATTTAATACCATTTTCAGAACTTAGAACCCTAAATGCTTGAACAGGTTGATGGCCTATTATATAACATAAATACATACATGTACTTGTAAAACTATCAATATTTCCGGCAAAATATTTGTGTTAAAAAAAAACCTTCACACTACTAATAAGATGTACATTGAAAACAGATTACAAAATTGCTTTCAAATAAAACGCATTTTTTTTCATAAAATATACAAGGATGCCAGAACTAAGGCGTGTCAGTTTTTAATTGGTTAATATCATATGATAATCATAATATGAGCCGCGCCATGACAAAACCAACATAATGGGTTTGCTACCAGCATGGATCCAGACCAGCCTGATCAGGGTCCATGCTGTTCGCTTAAAAACCCTATAACATGTAGAGAAACTGAAAGCGAACAGCATGGATCCTGATCAGACTGCGCGGATGCGCAGGCTGGTCTGGATCCATGCTGGTCACAAACGCACTATGTTGGTTTTGTCATGACGCGGCTCATATCTACTTATATATATTATATAACTCTCAGAAATAATTCATACAATAGCACTATATAATCAATATATAATTATATGGGTAAAATTTTTCCACGGTTGAAAAATTAGGAAAATCCTATTTTTAGCAATACTGAATACAGTTTTCTTTACAAATAATTTGGCTTTTGAGAGCCTAAAAGCACTTCTTTAACTCAAATTTAATATTCGAAATTTTCACTCGTGTTCAATGTATAAAACTACCTAAATAATGCTTAATTTTATACTCTTTTATATGCTTTATATTATAGAAAGGTATGTATATATGTCTATAAAGTTATTAGCAACAGTATATTCCCATAATAAACTGATAATATATAGTTTGTTTATATTGAAGAAGCTATTAAGAATTAAGATAATATGATTATAGAATAAGGTTGAATATTCTTGAAATAAAAGAGTTATATTCAAATCACATAAAATTTAAAGTGCTTCCCAACGTCCAAAATTTGGTCAAGACAATAAAAGCAAGATCATGTCACAAAAGAAAATGCTGCCATGGACAATGAACATTCAGTGCCATAAGAAACAGAATTGAATATTGAAAATTTGTATTAAATCATCTTAAGAATTCACACCATTGCTCAAAAAGAAATAATTGTTTAAATGAAGATCATTCATTATGATAATTCATCAATATGATTCATCATGATAATTCATCAAGATTATTCATCATGATAATTCATCAAGATCATTCATCATGATAATTCATCAAAATCATTAATCATGATAATTCGTCATGATAATCCATCAAGATCATTCATCATGATAATCCATCAAGAGCATTCATAAAGATTAGTCATCATGATAATTCATCAAGATCATTCATCATGATAATTCATCATGATAATCCATCAAGATCATTCATCATGATAATTCATCAAGATCATTCATAAAGATTATCATCATGATAATTCATCAAGATCATGCATCATGATATTTCATCATACTGCAAGAGAACAAACTTATAATTATCATGACAGTACAAAACTGTTGTATGAGACATGATATTAACAATGTCATCAGTGACATTCTAGCACTAGAATATACTGTATGATATAATATCTGAAATATAATGAATGTAAAAGTATGGTTAAAACAGAAGCTACCATATATCCTTAAATGTATTTCAAAGGTGTGGATTTTGTTTCTTGGATATAACACAGTTTGCTTTACTATCCAAGTGCTTGTCAAAACATAAAACGCCTTTCAGAAATTTTCTAAAAAGGGCAATAATTCAGTAAAATCCAATGCCAGAGATAAGGTCACTGGCATACAATATGACCACAACACAGGGACAGATTGCATATAACTTTTTTAAAAAGTTAATGAGAATTAAAGCTACAATCAAAACTATCAAAGCATTATTATGGATTCAATGCAAATGCAGAGTTAAAATCCAAGAAATAAAATCCACACACATATACAGAACTTTATTTAAGAAGTAGCTTCTATTATAATAACCCAGTATCATATACCTCCATTTTATTTACATGTTAGCAAAAAATAAGTTTCTTTTAATAAATAATTATGTGAATTTTCTAATGAGCTTTTTTAGCTCTGCTCCTAAAGCCGCATACGACAATTCATTACAATGGAGTCTGAACTTGTTTGCTTTGATCATTGAGTGACGTAAACAATGTTGTTTAGGAACAATTTCAAAATTTGGCATAAATAATGGCGAGGTATATAACAAACATATTTGCGTCAAAACACGAACAAGAATACATGATAAATACAGAAGACGAGACAACTGAGCTTGGATACACAGACAACAATGTTAGTTACCTCGATGCACGGCATGATTGCCTAGTAGTTAGCAGTAACAGAAACAAGCAATTAAATACAAATAGTAAAACATATAATCTTTATAAATCTCAACGGCGAATTAAACGCAAATTAGACAAAAATTCAAAGACAAAAGGTGACACGTATTTTATTCAAATAAACTGACTACGATTCATTTCAAAATAGATTTTGCAAGGAATTGGTATATATTGATATTGTTTTTTTCAAATTAGATCCAGTTTATAGAGAGTTTTTATTTAAACCAACAGATAAAGAAAATAAGGCCCTAAATGGTAAAATTGGTAATGTTGCAGGCTTAGTTTGATTGAGCCTGTTCATGGACGGTACTGTCATGTGCAAACTACCGTTCACACCCGGTACCACCGGCTTAAGCAGAATTCATTTGAACATGAAATGGTAAAATAAGATCTAATCATTTCCGATTTTAGTACTGCCTATAAAATATACCAAAATATTCAACATGTCACCTTCAGTCTTTCAGAGTTTCCAATAAAGCATGACAACTCGGGTTCCAATATTTTGTAGCAGTTACTTATCCTTATACAGTTATCATTTGTTTTTCTATAATATTGATGTAAACCAATGTAAATTACCTTTTTCATGGGCCTACATGTATTCTAACATTAAACATAGTTAAGTATTGTTTTGTTAAAAGATACTGAAATTTGACTATCTTTAAAATCTTTCGCCAGATAATATTTCAGCATATATGACTTTTAATAAATTTTCCTCAAGCAAAAAAGAAACATGTTAAACAATAATTTGATAACAATGATGGGTCCTCCCCAAGGCTGCTCTGTCAAAGTTAAAATCTATGCAATACTTGGTAAATCTATTTTAAGCCCCATTGACCTTGACCTTAGCAACATGAATCCCTGCTGTATAGCAAAGATCAGAGGAAGATAACATTTATAAATACAAAGATATTAGTTCATGAATGAAGCTGACAGTTAAAACGTGTCACTGAAGGACAAAAGGAAGAACCTATTCATAACTAAATGCTTCATCAAAATAATTTCAGGAAGCATAAAGTAAATGTTTTTTCGGAGTATAAAAATGTAACTGCTACACTCATATTAAAACCTATTTAATGAAAAACCATCAATGCAATACAAAATATGTGCAGACACAGAGCAAAGTCGAAAAGATATTCTTAAATTAACCTTAACAAACACAATGCTGTGCTGCTTGTTAAAACACTTAAAAAACTTTACTTCAATATAAAGAGAGTATGTGAGATTACGTGAATTTAAAATACAACATGTATATTTTAGTAAGAGCAAAAAAAAACGAGTAACACAATTTTAATGACGTTTTCCACTCCGTACCTGTTATGCTGCAAAGGAGGCGTAGTGTCGGATTTTCGTTCTGATACTGGTTGATCATGCCCTTCTGTGCAGATTTCGGCACAGGTATTGTCAGAGTGATTGGCTTGTGGAATTTACGTCGCCGCGGCTCTACAGTTACTATGGGACTGCATGCTACACGGTTACCAAACAGCTTGGAGATTATCTCAGGATTTATTGGCTGCGCCTGTAGAAAAAGTAAAAGGAGTTCTTTCCCTTTGCATTAAATGCATTATTATAATCGTTCAGTCATGCAATGTATATGGCCTCATCCTACGTACAATTATAGAAATATAACTTATTAACATTAATTGAATTTTCCAAAATTAGGTCCTATAGATTGAAATTGTCAACAATATGACAAACAGTAAACAAATTATTAAGCATTGTAAACATGTGTGGTCATCATGTGAGAGGTTATGTTTATGACGATTCATCACTTTATAGCTATTTCTTACAGGTGTTTCTTCATTACAAAAACCATCATGTAGTAGGGAAAAATACATGACAAGCAGAAAAAAACATGCTTATATTAACATAATTGCAGAATGTGTGAGTATGTTATTTTGTGATTTTGTTATCATTTCCACAAGATAAGATGACAAAGTGAAACATTTCCTTTAAGTCATTAATTTACAAAATAGCATCAATAATATTTATACATGACATCTTCAAACAGTTACTTCACAGATATTACCAATATTTCAGACATGAGCTTACCTGAAGTCCAACTCTGATTTTCTTGTTCAGTGCTGCCTGTGGGAACACAGCTTGGACCTGTGGTACGACCTTAGAACTGATCACGCCCCCTTCTTCTCCGATGTACTGGTTCTCGATCCTAACACGAGAAATGATGGCAAAGTACTGGGGTAGGTCAGTGGTCAGGATGCGCGTGATCCTCTTACCAGCCAGTTCATCCTCGCCCTCAAAATCTGAAAATGAATGCAATATGTTATTTGCTTCTATTCCGTAAGGCAATTATTTATAATCAGAAGTTTGTTTTTGCCAGTCTGTCAAAATGGCTTCTTTATAAAGCTTCTAATGTTCTGTTCAGTATACTTTTACAATTGCTTAAGCCTGAATTTATTTTCACTGCAACAATTTATCATGACATATCATATAAACTTTAAAGACTGATATGTTACATAATTATGTACTTTTAATTGTAAGAAATTTTCAAGAAAATGTGTAAATCTACTAAAATAATGCTTTAAGTTAATACTGCTTCTTTTATATAACCAAGTATTTTAAATTTCTATAATCAGTTCTTGCTTTTGGCATGGTTATAAAGATTTCAATCTAGGATAAACGTGTATGTGTTTATTTCCACCTGTCTTTATTGAAAATACATCATTACAACACATCAACAACATAAAAATTTCATATAACTTCGGTCCATTTTAATGTAATTTTAAGCAGAATGCCCTGCATTATTTCTTTATGAAAACAATAAAAAATATTTCTTACAAAAAGTTAAAAATTATCTTAAAAAGTAATGAATTCTTAAAGAGTGATAAATTAACATAAAGAGTGAAAAAGTCTGATAAATTCCCACAAAGAGTGATAAATTCCCATAAAGATTGAAAATTTTTCACAAAGTGTGATAAATTTTGATAAATTTCAATAAATAGTAATTAATTCTTTAATCAAAGAGTGATAAATTACCATAAAGATTCATTTAATTGTTATAAAGAGTGATAAATAAACTTATCTCACGGGAGAAATTGAAACAAATACAGATATAATAAATTTCACTAGCACTAAAACAACAAAAAAACATTATCTAAAATCAATCAACAAAAACAGATTGAAAGTTAATAAAACTGAAGTGATTTATAGTCTGATGAAGTGAAATCAATGAAATAATGAATGAACGTTAAAATAAATGTGCTGATTATAATTACAGAAAATAATGTGCACACAGAATTAACTAAAGTAGGTGACGCCAAACACTTCAAATTCAAACTGTTGGTGATGAAACAAATTAAATCTAGCAAAATAATTCTACTGGAGTATGATGATATCTCTGATAAACCTAATATACTGACATATGTCTTATACCTCCTCCACCCCTTTACTAATCAACATAGGAACTGTATTTTTAAGTTTCAACTTGTACATGGTTTTGATTTTTCCATAATTTTTTTTAAAAAGAAGAAAATTTGGTTCAATAAGATATTTCTAACAGTCAAAGGCAATTTTGTTTAGTTGAAATATATCTATTAAAGCTTAATTATAAAACAAGTTCATGCAACTTATTATGTCCCTTTCCTGGAATTGACCAGGACTGGTATTGTGTAAGAAAGATGCCTGATGGCCCTGGCCTGACAATTACAGGTATGAATCTTTTTTTTATCAAAATGATCAGGCCATTCTGACACTAATAATGTAACCTTGACATAATTTCAATTTTAACCAGGCAAGTAAAAGCTTCAGATATCATTATACTCCAAAATTTAACAAAAACAAGGCAAAACAAAAAGCTCACTCAGCATGCTACTAATAGGTTTCCCACCCTCGAAAGTTCCAGCCATCGCCTGGGCAACCGCATCGTCAGTGGCAACCATTGGATGTTCGTACCAGGTCTCTCCATTGTCACTGCGCATGATTTGAATTTCCCGCTCTCTCTCCCTCAGTGAGGCAAAATGTGGCACTTCAATCAAAACAGGTCTGGAAAGAAATAAAATAACATAATTTTGCTATAAAGTAATCATGAATAAATCTAAATCTGGTAAAAAAGCAGTAAAAGTTTTGCCAAGTCAAAAAGTCATCCAGAAGGATTTACAACCTTTTTTATTTTGATGTTTATACAGGGGTCTCAGCGAAAAATTGGGTATGTTATAAGTGATTTTTCTCACTTTATAGGGCAGCGGCCTTAGCCTCTTCATTTTGGGTATAAATTACTGTTAAAATTGCTTATTTTGGAAGTAAAAAGGCTGTTTGGGAAATCTGCATGATTTCAAAGAAAATTTTAATTAGGACAAGGCCTTTTATTGGACTATTATATAACATGGAAAGTCACTGGTAATGAATTAATAGACAAGTCTGAAATTTTTTTTTATGATTTTACAAATCATTATAATGATTTTCATAATATATCTTATGTGGAACTTGTGTTCCAAGGGAAACAACTATGTATTGACTATTTATATATTTTGTTGTTACATCCCTTTAATTCATTATAAAATAGGTTAGGCTAATGATTGATTATGACTGATTCACTACTCATTTATTCTACAAGATCACAGCTAGCAATACAGAAAATGCTGGGTGTTTACAGGGCATTGTAATTACCTGCATTTTTCTGAACTGATAGAATGTGTTTGGTTGGAAACATATGGTGACTTTCCAGACTTTCTGGTGGTCCATGGAGGAAGTTATTACATCCCCCCTGTGCATTATTTCAATCATGAACAGACACTTGTGCAGAACCAACTACATAAGCTAGCTGGAGAGACTGCTTCACATAGAAGAAACCAAAGTGTTTGGCGGGATTTAAACCTACAGCAGGAAAGGGCAAGCAATTCAAAGTCAGTGACTTAAACTATTTTAACATATAGCCTGCAGGTGTCAATTAATATTACCCATGCAACCAGTGCAGGCCAAAATTAGCCAGCACATCAGTGCCATCTGTTCATGGTCTGCACTATTTGCTATTCAGTCAGTATATATTTTAAAATTTTCCCTAAAAATGCTGAATGGTTTTGTCCAGAATGAAAAATGGACAAATCCATTTAAGATATTTAGGGAGAATGGTGCATCACAACACCACCAGTTACAGACTGACACTCAGACATGCTTGATAATGTCTTAATGAATACCAAAATAATCAAATAATCAATTAATATTATAGTGAAGACAAACTAATAGTCTATGTCTGATATCTCAACAGCCTGTGTCTGATCATACTGGACACATATATAAACATATCAGTTATTTAATTAATTGATTCATGACCTTGACCTGACCGTGACATGACCTGCTCAGCATTAGCAGATGATAAAACTGGCAAAATTTGTGATTATCATAATAAAATCTTTTCCTAACAGGTCAAATGATTAGAATATAATTGAGTTAATTTGCTTGATAAAGAACTTGGCTACATATTTTTGGCTACAGTCATATTAAAGTGCTGTCTCTGTAGTTAGTGAAAACTTCTTTACACCAGGTATCTTCAACTTATGTTTCTTATCAAGGTGTGGTTTGAATAGAATACAGATTACTCTTTTTATATTTTTAAAGTATGTAGAGAAGATACAATGTTTGTGACGGGACCATTTCCTAAATTACTTAAATACATTGTCACTTATCATGCACGGTTTGTTGGTTTGCTTGTTACACCTGAATTTCAATACACTGTTGGTCAGATTTTAACTGAGTTAGTCCACATAACCAGCTTTCCTGGACAACAAGACATTCAGACTGGCCTAGCTCTTTATTGGTTGCCAAGGCTATCAGTAATTACTATGGGACCCAGCAGGGTAAGGGTTAAAGGTCCAATACCAAGAACTTACATGTGCTAAAATTTCTCCCTCACTGCACTATACATGTATTATAATATCTTTATCCTTTCTTCATATATAATATATTTTTTACTGATTAGACCAACATCACTGTAAAAAAATATTCATCTTGGCTCAAGTACAGAAACAGTTTGGGGCCATTATCCGGTGCCTCAGCTATTTTTAATGGCTTTCTTGGAATTCAAATAATGTTAACAACTCCTACAAAGATCTTGTTCAGAAATAAACCGCTAGATAAATATAATCAACAGATATCATTAACATTTTTCAGGTAAGTGTTGCACATACAACAGTGTACAAAACAAAAAACTATCATTATCCATGATATAGGAAAATGAAATGTAATTATTCTTGGTAAATTGCCCGATGTCTGATTGCTCTGAAGTTTCATGTCTACTAAAAATTTACTTTATTACTTTTTTCACACTCAAATTATTGAAACTATTGCAAAACTACTTCAGGATTTGGGTCAATCGATTATTATCTATTTGTATATGTTGTGTTATGTTTTACATTTAGTTCTTTTCAATATAAACAAAGACAATAGGCTAACATTTTTTTTTTCAGATAAGGAAGAGAATTGTGGTAAAGGAAATATCTTTAAAATAACTTCATACTGTAAAAGAAAATTTATGCAGGTAACCTAAACCCTACTGAATTTGTATAATGGACTTGTCTTGTTTTGAACTTGGAACAGTCCACTGTAAATCTAAGGGATTTCAAAATAAAACACTAAAATGGAGTCACAAAAAGTATAAATTTGCACATCATTATGCTCATTTTAAGTATTCTGAAAGAACTTCAACCAATATTTTGTGATTCTGATGATTTCAGTGCTAACCTGTTCTCCACAAGTTATATACAACTTTTTCACCTTAAAAAGTTATGGCTTACAATATAATTATATGAAAATTACTCTGTACAAATGGGTCGGAACTTACTACCTTCGGGTCCACAGAGTAAAATTGTACCATCAATTTAGAACACAGAGCAAACAAAATATGTTTTTAAATCTTTAGTTAAACTAAAATTTGTGTAATGGACTTGGCTTGCCTTGAATTTTGAACAGGCTATTGTTTATTGAAGGGGTTTTAATCATTTGATTTTTAACTTTCTGAAAACAGAAATAGAGCAGCGGAAACTATGAAAGCTGACCAGATCAAATAAGACTAAAGCTCTATCTATTCATGTGACATCAGCAAGTCAGAGCCTTATTAAGAACTAATTTACACTCTGTTGGTATAAACTTAATGTCATAACTTTCCCTTGACATTTTGAAAACCATCAAGGTGTCAAAATGCAACAATGAATTGAAAATAAAATCAAGGCGGGGAAGGCATACAATTCTCTTTGCAAGTTCTAGTCACATTAAAAATAAGTTTTCTCTTCTTCCAATCAACAAATGGAACCTGAATATTCATTGCATGCAGAAATAATTGTCACATAATTTTATGTGATATGATGAAATGCCAGTATTACCAAGACAGAGCCAATACTGGTAAAATCACAAGCTTGTAAATTGAGAATGGGAGTCTTTGCCCTTAGGGTATTATGTAACATGAAAATGATAATGAAATAATGTCTGGACTTCCATATTTTTGCCTATTTCCAGATGTCATTGATGAAATAAAGATAGGCATATAATTATTCAATCTTCTCTACACCACAAATTATAACATTCTTATCTTTATTGCTTATTGCTGATCCGGTGCAATTTATTTCAATACTCATTTTTTTTATATCTTACATTCAACAAAACAATGTTTGAGAAGTTTCGATTATTTACATTTATATTATTGAATGTGTGATTCACAAAGAAATGGACCCTCTTAAGCCTCAAGAGTGACTGTAATTTGCTGAAGTATTCTTTTCCTGTCAGTTTTTTCCCCCATATTTTATTTACCAATGTATCTCACTATTCAAGGTTGTTATACAATTAAACTCAATCCCAGATGAATATATTAAAGGATTTGCCCTGCTTTGAATTTGAAACATTCTGTTATCTAAGTGTAAGGGATTTTAATATCAAAATACAAAAATTGAGCCACCAGCAGTATCGAGCCCAAGTCAGATGATACAGATGTACTGTCTGGCCTGACTATACTGGTGGCAAAGGCTAATCACTTGTGTTTCCAGGAAGTTATCTTTAATGGTTGAACACTTTCCAACTGACTTTATTCGATGAATGTGTCCGGCTTTAAATATGGGACTATCTATTTTAAACTATCAGCCATTTCAGTAAAACTGGCATAACTGAATAGCCAGTAGAGAAAAGCTGGCTGTCAAGTCAGCTACTTTTACATTTATTTGAACATTTTCAAGACATTGTATGCAACTTATTTTTTAAATAGTTAAACAATGTCTAGACACACTTTGAACTTCCACCCTTTGAATAACAAGCATGAAATGATACAAATATTGAAACAAATAGCTTTTGGACTTTTAGGAATGTGGGCAAATTGACCATGGTGATATCACAGATAAAGGAGATAGCAAACTATAATTCTGCATTGGTAATTAACTTTAGAACAAGAAAGTGACCAGCTTATGCTACCAGTATATGCACATCAGGCTCTATACTGTTGGTAGCTCAATTTTTGTATTTTGATATTAAAATCCTTTCAAATTTGAACAGACTGTTAATAAGTGACAGTACAATGTTTCAACATTTTTATGTACTGCTCTAAAACTGACAATTCAAAAGCTCTCTGCACATGTCAAAACTGTAAAAATAAAGGTTTTTTTTGTAGTTAAAACACTGTCCTCATTTATAACATTGCATACAAACCATACAACACCGAGTTTTCATTGTTATAAAAAATTCTGAAATTTTGAAAACCAGTGTTCACATTATAAAAATTTCACATTTTGATCTTTTATTACTGATTCATAATGGCATCTTACATTATGACCTTGACCCCTCTAAAGGACTGTGACCTTCAATGTCAAATTTTCCAAATAGAAACATTTTGCTCCAGATTTGTATTTTAAATACAGCTGCAGTGTTCTGAGAGGAGTATTCATGTTTGAAATATAAATCTTGTATCATTAACAGGTCACATTGATCTATGATTTTCATTGTATATTTACACTATTGTAAGTAAGACATCACATATAATGTCATAAATATATGTGTGCTATTTGTGTTATGACATAATATTACAAACACTATGTGCTTGAAAACATCTGGTGAAAACACGGCTGTATGATTCATAAACATATCTTGGCTAGCTAGGTTGCCAAATATTTCCTACATGCCAACAATACTTCAAAGCCTGTATGCAGACTTACTATCAAAGAGTGCCGCTACACTTACACAGAGACAAATACAACACTGTCGTTACTCAATGAGTACAACGAGTAAGTTAGGACGATGTTGCGCTGAACCCTTCGCTTCCCATCATAACAATTATTGTATGTGTAATTGAGAAATGTTTTGCCATTAATTGATGGTATTGTAATTTCCAGTGAGTGTAATGTGTCCAATTTGTAGTAATAAATCATTTTATAGTCAATCGAAAGAGGTCATTTCCTTTCATATACACTAAGTGCTTGGCAAATTTTACATGTATACTGCCATGAGAAAAAAAAAGTTGTCATCATTTGACTCATATTATTGTTGGAAAGATAACAAAATCATGTTTATACAAAGGTATTACAGTCATTTCTGTAAGAGAAGTAGCAGATCGGATGAGAGTGTTTCTATCATGCAGCAATCATAAACATATGGCATTTAATCAAAATGTATGACAACCTCATAACATATGGTTTCTAAAATAAATAATATTCTGATCTTGATATGACATCTTTTCTCACAACAACTAATTCTTTCTTCATTTTAAAGAGCCAATGTTTCATAAACAAGGGCAAAAAACATTTTTCAGGGTATATAAAACTAATAATTTTCACATTTTGTTCACTTTAAGATGTTACAAAACTATTTTCTTAACTCCTTAATGGCATTTTATCTCTGACCTGGTGGACCCAAATTCAGCAGGTGAAGGGTTTAGCAGTTCAAGGTATATTCAAATAATAATTTTTGGGTTATTTTATAACTGTCAAGATTTTACCCAAATATTTTCCTAACAGCTTGATGGTATTTTAAGCCCAACAAGCTTATGCATCTTATATTGAAAAGATTTGTCAGACTGAATTTATATTTATATTTAATCCAGAGAACCCAAAAAGCCAAAAAGGCTTATCAGCAGATCAGACTGGTTGCTGTAGATATGAGATAAGAGGTTCATGCAGGGCTTATCGTGTAACATTACCTCATGCAAACAGTTACCTTGATTTTATTACCTGATAAAAAAAACTCTACAGACATTCTAGCATACTTTCACTAGATTTAGATCTCCCATAAAAATATATATTTTTACTGTTACAGTGTTAAGTACAACCAGGAGATGAAATTTTCTAGTTTTGTAAATATTATTGCATTAAGTTTGTAGTTTACTTTTTGCAGGAGTTGTGAAAAAAGCTTCCTTTTCATTCAACACAACTATTCTACAATATACGACTTTTCAGAATTTTCAGTTTTCAAAATTAATGTTATCATTATCAGTTTATATTTATTCATGTAACAGGGTCTATCAGCACAGCAAAATCATATCAATAAGGTCTGATCTAGGATAAGCAGTAGTCTCAATTATCTGACTGCAAGACCAACGATTCTTAGATTTTTATGAACTGATATTACATAGATGTCAATCTTTATGAAGGGCCACAAACATTTATATAATAAAAGACCCTGGCGCACAAATTTTTTGGGCTAGGATAAGCAGCTTATTAAAATTTTATTCAATCTGGAATCCTATATATAAGATTTGGCAAGCATTAATGAATTTATATTGTCAAGAAAAGGGATCAAACTTTTTCCCTAAAAAAGAGGATATTTTCTACACATTTCAACTACTCCCTTGCACTGTGTCTCAAGGCCATCTCAGGACAATAATACCTTTATTATCACCCTCTGTATATAAATATTATCCAAAATTTTATTGACTTATGATAAATGACATAGATTAGTATTGGAAAAATGTAAACATGAAATTCGATAATCTGGTGAGAAAGAGTGTTAAAAGTGTATCAACATTGAAAAACATTGATAACATTTTGGCTCAACAAAGGGAAAAACATTGTCTAAATGTCTCCAGGTTTTATCCATTTATTTTGTGGTCCTTGACCAAGTTTATTATAGGAAATCAGCAGTTTGGTAGTCAATCAACCCTGACTGACATTACAGGCATGTACTTCTATGACTGTTTTACTGCCCAATACAGGCATTCCTAAAATGTGGATAGTCCTTGAGAGTGCCCCCATCATGCATTCATACTGAAGTTTTATAGCAAAAGATGAATGCAGTGGGGGAATTTTACGAGGATCTGACCATCCGTTTCCTCTGTTTGAATCAGCATTTTCCGATTTTCAAAAAAAAAGAGGGGGGTCCAAATTCACTGTGTGTAAAGTGAAATTTTCAAAGCATCTTTATTTTCTTAATAAATTCTTGACCTCATGTAAAAGACATATGAGCCGTGTCACAACAAAACCAACATAATGGTTTTGCTACCAGCTTGGATCCAGACCAGCCTGCCCTTGCGCAGTCTGATCAGGATCCATGCTGTTTGCTATCAGTTTCTTTACTTTTTATAGGGTCTGTAAGCAAACAGCATGGATCCTGATCAGACTGCGCGGATGCGCAGGCTGGTCTGGATCCATGCTGGTCGCAAACCCATTATGTTGGTCTTGTTGTGACACGGCTCAATTATATGCATCAAAGTTTGACTTTAGCGTATTAAAAAACATAAAAGAAATTTAACTCACCCCAAGAATTTAGTTCCATGTGGTCCCATCTCTATGATTCGGTTAGCCAGGGCCTCTCCCTCGTTCACGACCGGCGGGTGAAGGAGCTTCTCTTTCTTGATCAGACGGCAAAGTATTCTTGTCGGCATGGACGCCTTGCCCGGTGGGATGACAAACCGGATACCACTGTGGCGTGTACCTCTCATAGCCCCACCCCGGGCATCCACCATGAAACTCACCAGGAAGCTACGTTCAACAATAGTCATTTTTTTGTTATTTGTTATCTAATAATCCAAAAGTGATAAATAATTTCCTTTCCAAGATATTCCTAAATTTATTTTATTCTTACTTCTTGCTCAGTTCTGTGTTACCATTGAAATTCCTTCAAGGTTATCATGTACACATAAATATCTCTCTCAACTGTTACATGAAAAATTTACTAAAATGACTTTATACCAAAAAAGCAATTAAATCCACTATTCAATTGGTTAATCCGTAAGATATACACTACATTAAGATTGGAGAGAAGAAAAAAGCGGTTAGTTTTAAAATCCTGATAAATTTTCTCGGCAGATTATCTCCACTGTTCACTGTTCAATGTTTACATCCTGAATACAGACTGTCTACTATCAGTTATGTGTATATAGTATATTACTCTAATCATGTATCAGTGCATATCTTGATATATCAGTGTGCTCGTTTTACCTTGACATGAACTCCTCCCCCCCCCACCCCTGGAAGTTTTTTTTTCCTCCCCTTTATATTTGTGTTATGTACTAATTACACATACTGTGAAAACAATGGGACCAAAACTGCACTAATTACAAACACACCTAAACCATAGCAAGTATCTTAGCTCAGGCCAGTTATGATTGCATTAATGGGTAGTCACATTTTCTATAATTAAATCATTAACCCCCCATGGGAATATCTGACACCATTATCATTATTATCTCATTGTAATGTATGCATAAACAAAGGGAACATTTATACAAAAATATGGTTTCCCTATCTCCATAGCTTGCAAACAAGCTGGTTTATTTTGAGGGACATACCCAGAACAATTGCAGCCTTTCATAAATTAACCATGAAAAAAGTAAATCTAGAAACATAATTATGAAGCTGGGTAAAAAAAATCCTAACAGATTGGAAACGCCTGCTGCTACTTTGTTTTTAATTGTTTTTTCACTTGCTTTATTTCTGCAATTTAACAGACAATATCTCAAAGACTTGAGCAACACAGAGAAAAGCTTGTTTAACTAAAAGCAATGACTGTTCTAAAGTAAGTTTTTTCTTTGATTTGATTGGCTTTTGATTTTATGACGTACTGGCTGCATGCAGGGAATAAAGATTTTTAATCTCATAGAATATCAATACATGTATGCAATATTGAATAAAAATCTTTTTATACAAAATCGCAAAAATATTGCATTTTAACAATATTTAAAAACATCAAAAGACCCTTTCGAATTAACTGGTACCTAATTTTCAATTTCCTACAACTGGATATCCCTCGGCAATAACTTAGCAATATATTCTGATCATTTCGCAACATAACTCAATTTGGTTCCAACTTTCATCACTGACTTAGCAAGCCCATGCAAGCTTAAATAATACATCAAAATATCATTAAACAAAATCCAGTAAGATATCAAAATAAATCCAACCAAACTGTATTTGCCAGAATTCATACATAAAAATCAATATCTAGAAATTCTTATCAACGGTAGCACTCACTTCACATTCAATTAATATAACGATAATTTGCAGCTGAGCCAGAAAACCACACTACACCGACCACCACACAAAAAAATATTACAAGCACTAGCGAAATCGAAAATCTGCTGAATGAATGAATTTATAAGCAGTGACTTAGTAAGAGAACCCCGAAAAACTACCAAAAAGCTAAATGAACAACATAATCGGTAATTTCCTGAACATTTAGTTACTTGCCACCTTCCCACATTACAACAAAAGTTGGCTAAATCTCAACAATTTTGCTTGAATTTCACAGCATGTCTACATTCAAGTCCTGAGTAAATAACACATTGGGAAATGTAATCAAATATGGCCGATGGAATCTGGCAAAAACATATCTTAATACACTGCTGTTGGTAAATTATGGCTGAATTTGACAGAATATCAGTTCTAAATGTGGACATGACTGTCAGGATTTGTCATATTGCCGATCAATCATAGAAACCGGCTTATTGTATGATTTATTACTGCTCCCATATGAGAGCATTTACACAGTATTTATCATTTTACAGCAATATGAGCATTGCCATATTTGGGGAACAGTTACTTCCCTTTATTACAATGTAATTATACATTTATAGTAATTATTGTCAGTATGTCTGTTTATTTACTTTGCACCTAGAAATCTACAGTGCAAAAATCTTCAGTTAAATTTCATAAATTGTGAGTGTGAACTCATTACACAGTCTCAAGTACAAATTTGACAGGCTCCAATAACAAGAGCTGTCCGTAAGACAGCGCGCTCGACTTTTTTATTGCTTGCCAATAAAAAAAGTTTTTGCAGTAAAAGGCAATACAAGAACCAAGATTCTAAGTCGATAAAAGGCCTTAATTTTTAAAACAAATCCTTGACAGAGTTACCTTCTCTTGCGTACAGATGGGGGTAATGATGTGAAATAGCATTAAAAGTTTCAAAGCAATATCTCAAAGGGTTAAGGCAATAAGTGGATTTTACCCATATTCAATGTATTTTCTAAGTCAAAAAGGGGCATAATTCTGTCAAAAACCTTGACAGAGTTATGTCCTCTTGTCTGTTGATGAAGGTCGTGATGGTAAACAAGTATGGTCAGTTTCAAAGCAATACCTCCAATGGTTTTTGAAATAAAGTGAGGTGGTACAAAAAACTTAACCAAGCTCAATACACTTTCTAAGTCAAAAAAGGGCCATAATTCTGTCAAAAACCTTGACAGAGTTATGTACTCTTGTCTGTAGATGGAGGTTATGATGGTGAACAAGTATGGTAAGTTTCAAAGCCATACTTGTAATACTTCTGAAATAAAGTGGGGTGGTACGAAAAACTTAACCAAGGTGTGACGCCAACGCCGACGCCGGGGCGAGTAGGATAGCTCCCCTTTTCATAGAAAAGTCGAGCTAAAAATTCAGCCGAAGATTAAAGTGCAAACATTTTGTTTTTTTCAATAAAAACACATATGGCATAACTACAGTTTTGAAAATGGAGGAGACACAAAAAATGAATGTTCTTAATAATAAGCACTTCATAAACTCCAGTTTTATGACAAAGCTGAGTTTAAAATTTTCATTTGCTGACATACACTCCTATGAATAACTTGTCAAAGGTAGGTACAGCATTACTGTTTAACCTTGGCATAAATACCTAGAGGAAAACTTCAAGCTTTAACTGGAAATGACAAGTTTCTACCTAAATTCTGTCATTTAAATGTCATTTAATATGACAAAAACTTCTGTTTAACCCTATCAACTTATTATACACTTGGTGAACAGTATTTTTTTCGCACCATGTCAAAACTTGAAAGGATTTTTCATAAGGTTTTAGATATCTTTAGATCAACCTAAAACAAAGACTGTTTATAAACCCTGATCATGCTAAGTTTGTATGAATGGACTTGTCCAGCTTTCAATTTGGAACAATCCATTGTTCATTTTAGGGATTTTTATTTCAAAATTGAAGCAGCAAAATGTATGGAGTATGGTCATGCAGTCTGGCCTTTGCTCTTCCTGCTCTTGTTAAAAAGTTTTATCAAAATGGTACATTGTTCTAGTTTTTGCATATCAATTTCAATATAAATCAAGCACAACACTTTTGTACTTTACACTATGTAACCTGTTTATTATTTTGAACTTCATTTGTACATTTTTGTCATGTACGATGCAAAAAAAATCAATTTGAAACATTACATAATGGTCGGCCAGTATTAACACAGTCGACGTGTCCTGTACAGTGTAATAAAATTTGTCATGAAACTCCGGCATAAAATTAATGTGACAGGTTCACATGCAAAATGCGCAACCTGACAAGCTATGTACATGAGGAACATTTTAATGCATTAATGCACGTTCATGCAATTTGTTCAGTATTTCAAAATGTGAACAGGGGGTATAAATCACTTCAATTAGTATGCGCCAACAGCAGTGCTTCATCTTTTTTTTTCCACTTTAACAGAAAGTATCATTTTGTAAGTTAAGTTGGACAGACCTGTCTGTTAAAAAGGTTATTACAGACCTTTACTACTTACAAATATGTAACTAGAAAAGTGCCGCCACATTCCAATTCCACTGTTTTGTCAGACTACAGACAGCATGATGAACTGACAGACAAAGGTAAATCTGTATCTATGAGGGAATGAGGGTGGGGAGAGGAGAAAGAGAGAGAGTGGAGGGGTGGGGGGGGCATAAAACTTATACTGAGCTAACCTGAGAAAACGGTCATTTATCAACATTATTTCCAATTCCAGTCAAGGGGATAGAGGGAAGGTAATGAAGAATGATTATGAATATAGCAGAAAAACCTATTTAAAGCCCTCTGAGAAAACCATACGAAACTTGTCACAGTTAACAAATATGTCATTATATTTAACAACCACAGGTATTCATGTAACAAAATGTGAACATATGAACATGTTTAAACAAGACAGCATCTCAAGATCTGCCATTAAAGGAACTCATTCAGCAGCTTATCACTCTACTAAGGTATAAATCACTCCCTTACACACAGGCCCAATCTGGAGATCAATGCCAATATTTAAACATGATACAATAGTTTTAGTATGATATAATAGCTTCCCCAGTTACATGTCACATTTATTTTGATAAATATTCAGCTCTTCAGAAATCAGTATTAAAGGCCAAGCCAGCCTGCATATTCTGCAGAGTCTGTCAAGGCTATATAAAAACCAACTTCAAATTTTCATCTTCTTATTCCCATTTCTTGAAATGAGAGGTAATCAACAATCTTAGAAATTTTCAACATGTATTTAACTCAATGAGGACATCCCCATTATGCCCCATGAAAATATTTTCCTTAATGGGGATGTCCCATGAAAATATTTTCCATAACAATGAAGGAGCACTGTTTCAATACTTTTAAAACTAGAACTATCACTAAATGTGATTAATACCCCCCACAAGTCTGCTTCGGAAATGAGGATGTTACTAGTAACAGAATACCTTGTAAAAGAATTGAAACATAGAGTTATGGTTGTGGGCAATTAAAGATAATTGTTGTTCAT